TGCAACTGGTACACGACGGGGGGAATGTTGTACTGGTTTAAAACTCGGGTCAACCCTAATCTTTACATCTCCAATATGTCCTAATCCACTGAAAACTTCATGATACTTGCTCAAGAGTTCTTCCTTTGACAGACATTTTTGTGGTAGGGTCTCACTTATCTGACGTACATTCTCGGGGACGCTGACATTTAGGAGGATGAGTTGCAACTTTTCACAGGTTTCAGCTGATAGCAAGGGCTTACACTTGTGTTTTATTACTTGAAACTTCAGAACCTGTTGTTTGCCATTGTGTCTGACATGCAGGTCGCACTCACCAACTGGCTTCAAAGTTGTACCGCCAAAGAGCTTCAGTTTAACTGAGGAGTTGTTCATGGGTGGGTCTCCTAACTGTGTGATAGCTGAGAGGTCGTCCAAGCCAATTACATTACATGTAGCTCCAGTGTCTAATTGACATGCCAAGGTTGTGGTGAAGTCTTCTTTAGCTGATTTGAAGAAACTGATATCTGCAAGCCACTGTTTTGCCTTAGTTTGGACTATAGACACAGTTTCCACTTGCAAACAGCTTTCGTCAGAACTGTCATCCTCGTCTTCTTCGAATTGTTGAATCTTCTTTGATGATCGACATACAGACGCAAAATGGCCCTTTTTTTGACACTTGCTGCACGTTTTCTTGAACGCGGGACACTCTGTTCTTCTTTCATGACGATTTTTACGACCACAACACTTACAGGTCGGTTCGAAAGAACTTTCGGATTTCTTTTTTCTTATTTTTTTCTCTAAATTTGACGATCTTCCTCCATCTCTCTTCTTACTACGACTTCTATGGGGAAATTTCTTCTCGCTAAATTTCTTTACGTCTTCTGTCTTGTTGTCTCCAGCGCCTATTATCGTCTTGATTTGCTGCGAGGCGATTTCACTCGTAGTGCACATCTGTATGGCTTTCTTCAAGTCCAGGGATTTTTCCCTCAAGAATCTCACCTTGTCACCTTGATTCTTTAAGCCAATGACGAGCCTGCCCCTGATAAGCTCATCTGTTAGTGCACCGTATTCGCAGGACGCGGCTAATTTTCTCAGACGTGTGACATAACTTTGGACAGATTCTTCGCTTTGCTGCACACACGTATTAAAAACATACCGTTCGTAAACCAAATTTCTGCTAGGTTTGAAGTAGCTTTCTAAAGCTTCTAAACATTTGTCGATTTTCTTCTTATCGTCCTCTGGAAGATTTAGGTTGAGTAAGATCTGAAGACACTCTCTGCCCATCGATGAACGCAAAGTCGCTAAACGGACCGATTCCTCTCGCTTATCGAGGCCTGTTGCTGTTTCATAGTCACCCATTGCTGCTTGAAAAATCCCAGTTGCCAGTAACGTCACCATGACACTTCATAGGACTTGGCAGCGGAAAATTTGGAGAAATAACTTGAGGATAAATTGGGGCGGTGGGTTGAACTGTGTTAGGTGCTGCCATTGATGGCACGTCGATTTGCGCGCCCGACTCCACGTGGTCGTTATCTGACGGCATCTTGAGTTCTTTTTTCTACACTTTGAGCTCAAAATTCTTTTTGAAATTACGAATAATATAAGGAAACAGTATCAGCAAGGTACCTTCGGCGATTAATTTTCAAAAAAAGTGCAGAATGCTCAGAAAATCCATCCCGTTTCTGACACCATGTTATGACATGTGTGCTATATACTCAGTAAAAAGCAACAACTTTATTTTATGTCCAAATAAGGAAACAGGTAACGTGACAAGTGACGCATTTATCGTAACAGTCCTCTCGACTTCCCGTCCAAAAAAAGTTTTCCTTGATTTTTTGCCCATGAAAAGGGTTTAGGACACATATTTAAAAAAATAGTTTGTTTGATCTCTAATTCTCTTTTTTCGCGTCGCCACAAGCCAAAAATGATTTTTGGCTAGACCCCCTGTGTAGACAGCGATTGAAAGTGTAATTTTCATAGATATTGTCGAGGGTGCTGCGACTGCAATAATGTAGCTCACGGAATTCTCTCTTGCTACAAATTGCAAGATATATTCAGTTCACAGACAAAATATGAAAACTTCACTTGAAATCTTATTCATACCAGCGTGATCAGAAGAGAACCTTTCCTTCGACCTTAATTTGCATATTAAAAATTATTCATTTTATAAGAAATAATTCTCGAAATGCAGGTGTAAATCGGACTAAAAAAGCATATCAGTGGATAGTTTATACATCAATGAGGTCACTGCTTGTCTCAAACCCGCGGGTATCTCGCTAGATTCTATCCGCCAACATCTTGAAAACAACGCAAATCCATGTGTTTACTCAATTACGCACATGTCAAGGTCATTTGCATAATTATGAAAATTGACCAAAATATCTCTTTGACCGTTCAAACTTCGTTTGTTTATCTTCTACGTAAATTTTTGTAGGTTTTTATAACAACTAGATGGAAAATTAATCCCAAGTTGTCTTAAAACGTTGCATAAACGAGATAAGTCGTAACGCTAGCAGGACCAACAAAGTAAACAAAAGCGATCGAAAGACGTTTCCCTTGAATCAGGTCATGAACCACGCACAGAGTGGAAAAGATCAAAGTTAAAGAACACAACTTGGCACTCTGGTCATTGCATATATACTGCGTAGCTTAAAGGTAAATGGAAACAATTGAAATACACGTACGTTTCGGTATTATTTACAAAACAATACGTGTACACTCTGCAAGAATTCTTGCAGTTTCGACCAAGGTTTAGCACACGGAATGCAATCATCAGGCGTTCCTTTCTGAAAATTTGCTGCCATCATTAAACCACAACGTTCTTGAGGGACGACTCTCACTTTTCCTGCGACCATCCAAACAGTTAGGCAAACCCGGATTGGTGTATTGCGTGACGCGATTATGCCAAATAGTTCACTTGATATATGACTCGTTTCGCGGGTGTGAAAATTGAACCTAAAAAGTAGTTAATGTAATGTTAATTAGAATGGACTAAAGTAAAGGAAATGGGGATGGTATTTGAGCTTGCAATGTTGCACCCCCCTCCCCGTCCCCGCCCCACTTCAAAATTCATGAGGGGGGGCCAAGGTCCCAGCATACCTCTTTCCAGCCCCCTCGCTTAAGCTGAGGTTGTGCCCCACGTGTTTGCTTGGTGGAGAGGAGAGTTACTTCAGTTATTCATATGTTTTGAGTTATTTATCCCAAAAAAATGTCTACTTGTTTCTTGGAAAGCAAAGATTGTAGTGGTTGCGGGCATTTCAGCGGAGTTTCAGCCCCGATATCTCTCCTGGAATACCAGGACGACGTTTCAAGTCATTTAATGTACTACCACCTATCCAGCAAAATCTTTGAGTACGAGTTGATTTTGTTTCGTTCCGGTTATTTTGGCCTCGAAATGGGAAAATTAAAACAGATGTTTGTTTGTTCTAAACATCGGAACGCTTTGGGAAAACATTGGAAATGTGGTAAAAGTACTTGCCAGCATCCAGAGCACAAAGGAAAATGTGAGGCAGTGAGAGGAGACCGAGTGTTCAACGCCAGATTGGCTAGAGATGTTTTCGAAGTTTACGGAATTATAGTTGCAGTCGGATCACGTGAGTAATATTATTCAATTTCTCGATTGTGAGAAAGCTAGTATCTTTCTAATAATTTATTCGTAAGGGCCTATCTGCCCTTACAGACTGAAATAGAATCGTCTCCATAAAATCATAGGACAACTTTTTGCCATGGAAAATGTCTCTGTTTTTGCATCGGCTTAAAAATTTCGAAGCTGTCAAATTTCGTCAACGCTTGATCTGCTCATATGACTGGCCGGCATAATTTGCCAATGGATTCAAACTTGAATTGCCAGGATTCATTTCAAAGTTTTAAAAATCCACGAGTTTCGCAAGAAAAGACTACTACTGTCTACTCTGGTGGTACTTTTTGTAACAAATAATCGACAAGTTTAACACGGCTTTGTTTATTTAGTCGCTTTAGTCCAGTTTTCACCCGTGGGAAATTTTGTCGGCGGTGTACTTGTAGATTTTCTTGCTTCACCCAATATTTGTCAAGTCGCGACAAACCATCCATACTTTTACAAGGTTTTGTTGAAGATAGATAATGTTTCGAGATAAACAATTTTTTTGTTGATGTGGATCCGGATAGGCCCTAAAAATTTCAAAGGTTAAATTTTGGGCTGAAATTTGAAGCCGTTTTTCAAGGAAAATATAATCAAGTCTTGCAATTCAAATAACACTACTAACCTTTGGAACCAAGAGATAAAATGTTCCGTTATTTGCTCTTGTTATAAGTAATTAGAGAGGAAAACTGAGGCGAGAACAAAACCAGGGAAAAGGATGTCCAAATGAAAATTGCAATGAATAAAAAGGAATTTATAGAAAAAAAGAGAGAGGGAGTAAAAGCCAATTCCTGAATATTACTTCCAATCACCACGAGAACTAATAAAAAAAATTGCCGCAGTTTCGTTTTGGCGTTTTAATGGCATAACAATATACAACTTAAACAAACAAGGCAGCCGTTTTAAAAAAGATTAAACAACGATGATAGCTGCACCGATAAAGTTCGCATCCAGAGAATATAACAGTTTATAATCTCTTGAATGGCAATGACCATGACGATACTTTTTTCGCGCAATAGGTCAAATTAAGTAAATTTATAAGAATAACTTTTCTGTGCACATTTTAGCCATCTGTAGCAGCTGCAGAAAGTTACATAACAGCCGGTTTAAGAATGAGTGGCTCTGGCTAAGAACATCGGGGGAGGAAAAACGGCTTTTAGCCGAAGAAAAGGATTCTTGTGGCATATCATACTTGTCGAGGTACGTATACTGATAACTTTAAATCATGTGTCTAACATGCAAATGATTTGTAAGGCTTAAAGCAATTAGTCCGCATTTGTTTCACTAAGAACAGAATGGGAACTCTCCATTAGTTTACCGACGTTGATAAATGTAATCAATTACCGACTGCCTTGCCTGATTTTGACTTTTCAGGGAAGCCAAAGAGGAGGCAAAATCGGCGATGTTTTTTTCTCCAGCTGTAGGCGTCGAAATACACAATCGGGATTCCACTTGGAATCCTGAGCAATGGCATGAAATGGCTGAGGTTTCGTCAAACGATGACTCATCAGATGAAAAAGAAGTTGATGTGCACGTGTTAAAGGCCTACAATGAGACTATGACAAGGATTGCTTCACTCACAGAACAAAAAGTTAAACATGTTTCCGTTGGGCTTTCAAAGGAATGGGAAGAAGCAACGGCAAATGAAAAAGCCCTATGTTTAGATCACGTGGAAGAGGCATGTCGCGCTGTTTGCAATGTAATCGCTCCACGAGACAGCGAGGAGTTATTGCAAGCCTTTAAGACCCCGGCAGTAAATGAAGTTTTCTCGGATGACTTGACCACAAACAGGCACCTTCGAAAAACCTGAAAACCCAGATCTTGAGCATATATGCACCGCGCTATTCAGCGAGATTCTTAAAAAAAATTCACGAGCCCTTTGAAAAACTGAGCGATCGACAAATTAAGAAGGCAAGGGCTCATGCCAAAAATGTCGGAGCTGGCTTTAACCTCAACAAAATGCCACACCACAGAGTCCGAATAGACTTGGTGAAACTTGACTCTGGGGATCATCTCGTCATGCCAAATGTCATCAGAATTGTTGGACGATCAACGATGATTGAACAGTATCTTAAACACTGTTGCGAGGAAGATTTCGACCCCCTTGGAAAATCAACGCTTTACAGAATTTTGCAAGTAAGAGAGGCCTCTCAAAGGCGGTCCCTTCAAGGGCTAGACAACACTGCAGTAAGCGGAGCGGAAGGGTTCGAAGCAATGCACAAGATAGTAAAGGAATTGGAGGAGGGTGGGGCAACTGAAAAGTGGTGTGAAGAAGTTCGAAGAACACTGAAGGATGCCAAGCGATACCTGAAGACAGAGTATGGGGTGCACTGTCAGGAAGATGGTAGTCCTTGCCCTGACCATTGTATGTGTTTTTCTTTAAGTGATCCTCAAAACCCCTAGTTTCAAGGAAGTTGTTCCCATAAACATCAAGTTAGCTGTGATAGTTGCGAAAGTTTGAAATCCGTGATTCAGGCAATTGGAAAAGAAATTGAATCTCCTTCGAAAACTTTTGACAACATAGAGAAGAAAGAGGACCTGAAACACGACCATGATGAAGCCAGAGAGGCGATTTTTCAGTGGAAGGCGCACATCATCAGGACTAAGAACCAGGAGAGAGCAAAACAGAATTTGCTCACGTCCCTCCAAAAGAATGCCTCCCTTATTGTCATGGACTGGGCCATGAAGTTCATCCAACTGAAATACAGAGAAAAGCAGTCTGAGTGGTTCGGAAAGAGAGGAATAAATTGGCATGTTAGTTCAGTTATTACGAGGAATGCAGAGGACAACGGCCTTGAGATTATGTCATATGTTCATCTATTCGAAAGCTGTGCCCAAGACTGGTATACGGTTTGCGCAATTCTGGAAAACCTTCTCGGCAACATCAAACAGATCAAGCCTACCGTAAACGAGGTATTTTTGCGATCAGATGGCGCAAGCTGTTACCACAACAATAATCTAATTGCAGCTGCTTCTAACGTTGGCACAAGCGTTGGAATCAAGGTGATGAGGTAAGTTGAAAATGCTTTTTAGATTACAACACGAACACATTCTTCAAAGTTGCATGCGCCTTCCAAAAGCATGCGAACTCTTGGCTTGATCGACTTCAGAACTTAACTTTCATGCTGTTTCTGTTCATTATAGTAAGTGGTATCTCAGAGCCGAGACAAACAAAATAGATCAAAATCTTTTGATAATATACTGCAGGAATGTAATTATCCTCTGAACCCTTGAAACATCGTATACTGTCGAACCCCTGTTTAAAAGCGAATTAAAACGCATTTTTGTTAAACCGCAGTAGTTTACTTATAATTGTTCTATGCAAAGTACAAGTAGCGAATGAATGCTTACCTTTCTCAAAGGGCATCCTGGGAGAATTCAAGTAGGTTTATCTATTTACCGTGTTGTCCTTTTGTTGCCTCTTCTTTAGAATCGTTATAAGTATAATTTTCATTTTAACATTTTCATGATGGGCAGAATGTGCTGGTAGAGGCAGGAACATACACTGAACTTACGTAGCAACATCTGTATTAGTATGACAGGTATTGATAGATCAGTTATTCTAACTGAGACACTTCCTTTCCTTATTCTAAAGGTATGATTTTTCTGAACCACAATCTGGCAAGGATGTTTGCGATCGCATCATCAGTCCAATGAAAGGGGTAATTCGTAGATACTGCAATGAAGGCCATAACATTTTGACAGCTGCTGACATGCACGAGGCATTGAAAGTGAGACAAGTGAAGGGGTGATCAGCTGCTGTTTGCGAGATTGATAGTAACAGAAAAGAAGTAAAAATTAAGCGCCTCAATAATTTCAGCTTTTTTCACAATTTTGCTTATGAAAAGGACGGTCTTCGTCTCTCAAAAGCCTATGGGGTCGGAAAGGGCAAATTAATACCATGGTCAGAGCTTATCCTTGAGAAGCATGGCCCTGTTGTGTTAAGGGAAGTTGGGAATCATGGTTTCTTTGCCATAGCACCACGAGCCATAAAACAAAATCGCAATCTCAGCCAAATTTCGAGCGATAATAAAGACATGCTGTTTCACTGCCCAGAACAAGGATGCTGCTCTGAGTTCACTTCTTCAGAAGAACTCCAAGATCATGTGCACCTCGGGAAGCACAGCGAGATAGAAGCTTCAGAGAGCCTTTAGGACAGCCTTAGACGTGACTGGGCCATGAAATTTTCCTCCCTAACGCTTGAATCAAAGATAGCAACACTCGAAGTAACGGGCAAAGTTAAAAGTGAAATGTACAAGATTGGCTGGGCCCTTCAGAAAACGCCAGGCAGTGGAACAAGGTTCACGGAGAAAGTGAAAGGGTATCTTTCAAGCAGGTTTCAAACCGGTGAAAGAACAGGCAGAAAAGCCGATCCGCGCAAGTTGCAGCAGAAATGAGAAAGGCCAGAGAGGCAGATGGTGCCAGAAAATTCATCAGAAGTGAGTGGCAAACGAAGAACCAGGTTCAAAGCTACTTTTCGAGGCTTTCTGCTACGAAACGAAGAAGAGTCGCAAAAGATCAAGAGCAGGATGCAAACGACGAAGAAAGCGCTTACCTAGAACACAGAGTAAGGATAAAGGAGGTAGCGGATGTTATTTCCGAAATCGAACTTACTCATCCAATATTATTTGATGGACACAATATTTGCGATCATGTTAACCACGACACGTTAAGGAAGCTGAAAGTCACCACGCTGAGGGAAATATGTGCTTTTTTTGAAATTGCTTTCAAAGCCAGAGATTTAAAGGCCACCTTACTCAAGAAACTAAATGACATGGTGACAGAATGCTCATGTTTCCAGGAAATTTAGGAAGGCTATTACTAACTCTGTGCTTCATTTCATTTCATGACTTTCGATACTAAAATTCGTTATTAGAAGTGTAATTTGTGTCTTTGTTTTTGCTACCAACAGTTGCATGGCATGAAAGGTCAACTTATTAGCATAGTCACGCAATATTTGCCGAGCTGGTTTTGATGGTCGCAGGAAAAGGTTAAGTCTGTCGCAAACAACCTTGTGGACTCTAGGAACATGAAATATTTAATGATGGCGGCAAATTTTCAGAAAGGAACGCCTGTTGATCGCATTTCGTATGCAAACCTTGGTCGAAACTGCAAGAATTCTTGCAGAGTGTATACGTATTGTTTTGTAAATAATACCGAAACGTAGGTGTATTTCAATTGTTTCCATTTACCTTTAAGCTACGCAGTATATATGCAATGACCAGAGTGCCAAGTTGTGTTCTTTAACTTTGATCTTTTCCACTCTGTGCGTGGTTCATGACCTGATTCAAGGGAAACGTCTTTCGATCGCTTTTGTTTACTTTGTTGGTCCTCCTAGCGTTACGACTTATCTCGTTTATGCAACGTTTTAAGACAACTTGGGATTAATTTTCCATCTAGTTGTTGTAAAAACCTAAAAAAATTTACGTAGAAGATAAACAAACGAAGTTTGAACGGTCAAAGAGAAATTTTGGTCAATTTTCATAATTATGCAAATAACCTTGACATGTGCGTAATTGAGTAAACACATGGATTTGCGTTGTTTTCAAGATGTTGGTGGATAAAATCTAGTGAGATACCCGCGAGTTTGAGACAAGCAGTGACCTCATTGATGTATAAACTATCCACTGATATGCTTTTTTAGCCCGATTTACACCTGCATTTCAAGAATTATTTCTTATAAATTGATGAATTTTTAATATGCAAATTAAGGTCGAAGGAAAGGTTCTCTTCTGATCACGCTGGTATGAATAAGATTTCAAGTGAAATTTTCATATTTTGTCTGTGAACTGACTGAATATATCTTGCAACTTGTAGCAAGAGAGAATTTCGTGAGCTACATTATTGCAGTCGCAGCACCCTCGAAAAAGTCTATGAAAATTACACTTTCAATCGCTGTCTACACAGGGGGTCTAGCCAAAAATCATTTTTGGCTTTTGGCGACGCGAAAAGAGAGAATTAGAGATCAACCAAACTATTTTTTAAATATGTGTCCTAAACCCTTTTCATGGGCAAAAAATCAAGGAAAACTTTTTTTGGACGGGAAGTCGAGAGGACCGCTCTTAGCGAGAGTGGCACTTAATCAGTTGTGGGGTTTGCCTGCAATGTGTCAAATTGCCAGTGTAGACTTCATTCTTCTCAGATGTCAGCTGGTAAAAGATAGATACTTAAAATAGCCGTTCATAAGAAAAATCACACATCACAATGGGGCATGATTGATTTGTGATATTTAGAATGACAAAGGCAGGAAAACACTTTGAGCATTTTCTTATTCACTAGTAAGTTAATTAGATTTTGGATTCTACATTCAGACTGGGTGAGATTAAATTTATTCATATCATGCTTTGTTATGGTTTGATGTTTTTGTTGCAATCACAATTAACATTCATGACAAAATTTCATTTCACGTGGAATGTTTCAAGAACTCTCTTCCTTTCTCTTCAATACCATTTACTATTCCTGGAGCACAATTAAAGGTAGCAGGTAATTAAAAAAAATTATGACTTTGAGTAACATTTGATGATTTCACATGTAACAGGATGATCAAGCTGAAGATAGCCTAAAAAAGGATTGAACTCCACTGTAAGAATTAGGTAACTAATTTGGAAACTTGAGCACTTGGTAAATACACCATGGCTTGCAATTCTGATGATTACAGTTTGCTGAAGTAATTGAAATGTTAGTCCCCATGCAGGAACCTTTCACTTGACCTGTACAGTCATGAGCTATGAGATAACTTTAGAAAAATGCATTTGTGTTGGTAGAGCTATTGTAAATACAGTACAACCTAGAGACAAAAATGAATGATTTCCTATAAGCATGAAGAAGATGTGGTAAATGACCCTTCTTTTGCTAGGATGCATAGGGTCTCATGATTGTCATGTATATCTTTTAGCTTTCAAACTTTCAACTTTGTATTAATTGTAGCTGTTTACCATGTCTATTCTCTGTACCATAAGCCCTCAAAAGTTGAAGTAGGCAAGTCAATAACCTGACTTCCTTTATTTGGAATTGTGTGATTATACAATTTTGCTGTGTAAGTTACCATACTGTAACATTTAATATTATTATTTATATTGCATTAAATACACTAGCTCAAGCTTTCATTAATGCATGGTGTTTCTTGCCAATGGTCCTACCCAAACTGAAAATTGAAATAAGGAATTGGGCACAAGATATGTGAGTTTAAAAGAGTGGGAATCTGGAAAAACAAGGATCCTCCTTTAATTAGGACTGAAATGAATGGGGGCCTTTTTATTTTAATTCATGTTTTTAATTTGACCTGCCTCCTTCCCTGTAATGTTTAGGGCATATAGATGAAGAGAACATTTTTTTGTATTTTGATGCATAAAAGTTAAATTACCAGTAATTGGCATCCACATAATCACAAAGCAAGAATGTAAAGCTTTAGCTTAATTGGTTAAAAAATTAAAGTAAGAGAGTTTTGCAGACCATGTCTGGATATTTATTTAAGTAACAAAGACACTATCAGTCTCATTCACTCTCACTTTCCACTGAGCTTGTGGAAAGATGATAACATCATTATTTCTTTAAATGAAGAAAGGAAACCCTGCCCTCTTACCACAGATAGTTCTGTTGGGCATCATCAGTTCAAGATGATTGTTCCAGGTAAGCTAACCATAAAAATTAGTTGTGAAAATTTCTTGAACCTGTCATTGTACATCTTGAATGTTTGACTCAATTTTACCTCACTAACCTAAACTGAATAAATAAAAAAAATGAAATTTATTTGTTCTCCTTTTGAGCTGTGCATCAAAATTTCAAAGTCATCACAGGCTTAAACTATAGGTTTACAGGAAATCTGCATGTGCATGTGTTTGCAATATAGGAAACTGGGATTATGACTACTTCAAAAGACTTTACTACATGCCGTATAGGTACAGGCAGGTGTTGTAAAAAGATTTGCCAAGCTTTTTCATTAGTACACATTCCTTTTTCTAAGAATTCTATTTATCCAGCCTGTGCTGAATTCTAATTTTTCAAGCAAATTTTATTATTTTTTCAATATTATTAGATCTCCTAGTATCAGTTAATATTCTTGTAATTAAAATAATTACATTGAATCTTGCAGATGTATGGCACATTATTTTTTCAAAAGACTTTACTACATGTCGTATAGGTACAGGCAGGTGTTGTAAAAAGATTTGCCAAGCTTTTTCATTAGTACACATTCCTTTTTCTAAGAATTCTATTTATCCAGCCTGTGCTGAATTCTAATTTTTCAAGCAAATTTTATTATTTTTTCAATATTATTAGATCTCCTAGTATCAGTTAATATTCTTGTAATTAAAATAATTACATTGAATCTTGCAGATGTATGGCACATTATTTTTTCTCTGATCCTCCTAACATTTTACCATGTGAAGGGACTGGTATTGGCCATAAAAGTAAAGTCAAATTAAAGTTTTTGCACAACCTATGCATCAAGTTTTTGTTATGAAATATTGCATCCTTCTTAAAACTAGTTTATCAGAATAAGAAGTGAGTTACTAGCCACAAGTATGGCTTTCAATATCAGATAGTTTCCAGGTTTGAAAAAAAGTCACTGCCTACTAAAATCCTCAGTTCCTTTGCCCTGACAACCCAACCTCATCAAAATATTGCCAACAGGAGTGATTAGCAAATTATTGACACAGACAAGAGAGCCTATTCCTACATACATCCTCCTCAATCCTGTTAGCTTACTATGGACATGGCATTTCAAACATAGTGTATATGCCACAAGTTTTCCATTTCCCTGACTAATTATTTTGTAATAGTGTTTATATGTTGAGGAAAATGGTTGGGTTGAAATATAATACAAAGACTCTTCAGTAGATATTCAGATGAAAACTTTTTACATATCAATAAAATGTATTGATGTGTTTCATGTTGACAGTAACTTCAATTATTTGCAAACGTAAGAAAATACCATCTAAAACTTTTCAACCTATTTAATATAGCCAATAACAACATCAACTAAGCTTCTAAACTTAAGAGAAAACTTGATTGATGTTTGGAATTGATTTCTGTGATGTAAAAATGAAATCCAGGTATCAGCTCAAGTTTTCTAAAAGACATCCACATTACATGCAGTTACGGCAGAGGTTATCAAATTAAATGACAGAAAAAATCTCAAAAAGACGTCATTTATTTCCAGCCAGAGGACAATCATGAAACATGAAACAAGAGTTGCCAAAAGCGAAAAAGTTTTCAAAAATTACACAGGTTCAAACACGAGTTGAAAATTACTTTTTTTTTCAATTTTCTACGCTAAACAGAGGAGGTTGAAACGTTGGGGAAAAACGGTGGGGTAAGCAGTCATACCTGGCAACTTCAAGAGAAGATATAGGAGAAGCTCATACGATTCTGGCGTATTGTTTTTACTGACTTACCGTGCTCACTGCACGTGTACACCTCAATCCACCTATAATGTCTTCACGCAAAGTGGTTTACTGTCGTTTCTTTCAATTTTGGCTCATTTTTCCAAACCGAAATTATAAGTCACGCTCAATAGGATATAATTTCAATTGATGCCGACAGCATGCACTTCATCTGAAGAAAAAAACATTCCCTATCTTCGAGAATTTGGTCACAACTTCAAGAACAACGATGAAGGTCGTACGCTGTCTGAAGATACCGCTGACTAGTATGTGTGTAGTCGTGAGAACACCGTCCCCAGGTCCAGACTTCGTCAATTCTTCCCCACCTACCCACCCCCTGAACTGGTCTTTCAATCCATTGAAGAAACTCTTTTACAGTCAGTGCTGAAGAGTTTTATTACAGTTTTTATTCAGTGTAACGTAGGGCTGGAAAATAAACTAACAAGAGCTCCGCTTTTAGGCTTGGCTAAATCTATATATTATGGACCCGCACATAAGTTCTTGTTTTATCTTTGGCAGTCGAGGATTGATTTTCAGTTGATCATTAAGTACATTGTTGTTCATGTGCGACATTTCTGCGAAGGTGTTCGAATTGTTGTTCTGACAGCCCATGTTTAATTTCAGGAAAACAGATTCAATAATACTGAAAAAGTTCAGGTCGTAAGTCCTTGATGCCTTTCGATAGGCGTAGTACGCTTTACCGCTTTAACTCAAAATTTCCATTTGTTTCGATGCATGGAAATAAACACGAAAATTTGGTGGTGGAAACTTGAAGAGGAATGTAATCTTTGTGATTTCTGTTTCCTTTCTTTGGCTTTGTAATATTCATCGGCATTGCAAAAGCCACCTTTTAATATTTAGCCCGCAACCCGACATTCTCTGGCATAAAATAATTCTCTAAAAGGAATGTTAGAGGAAGGGAAGAGATTAGCTCTTCTCTTTTACGTTCAAGATGAGCTTTTTATGATTGACTGAGGGAATGTAAGTCTCCAATACCATTTTGCACGAAAACAACAATAAAGACCCGAGGTTATCGACAAGAACAAGAACAACAACCTCAACAACAACAACACTTTATTCGGACCAAGTAAACCAGAATTATACAGAGCGATCTTCATCCAGGCTCTAGCGTTAAAATCAATACCCGAGAATAAAAATACCAATAACTGATTGAAAAATGAGAAAAGGAAGATGTTGTGCTACATTTAGTGAATGATAGATCTGAAATTTACCAAATTAGATTTAGAAAAACAAATACCTAAAGTGAAAAATGCTAATAAGTCTGTAAGTGTACGTCATTTACATGGAACGATGATTACTCCGATTATGTACAAATCTGCGTGAGAGTATTATAAGGCATAAACATTGAAATAGTTGAATAGTCTCTTAAAAACTGCATGCGAGAGGTATTAATTAACATCATCAAGGACATAAAAATGATTGTAGAAACATGGTAAAATCAGGAGTATAAACAGGTAGGTAAATAAATTAAGGATAATCTAAACCCTAAACCTAGCTGTGTATAAATTTGTGATAAACAAAACATTTAACCAAACTTGTTCAAGGAAACATAACAATATAAAAAGCAGTAAAAGGGATATTAGAGATACGCCAGCAGAAAATCAGAGGTCTTCGAGATTGAAAAAGGGTATTTATACATGAGAGGTATTTCCTAACCTCCATACGTAAAATAGCATGGAACTAGCTACTGCTACAATCGATTCATTGATTATAATATCTTAATCTTGCTATTCACCCTCAAAGATAAACATCTTTTGGGTAGACTCTTCTTCCTTCATCTTTGTAACCCCCGGAATGTCCGTTAGGGCTTCTTCACAATGCCTTGTAAGTGATGGGTCTTGAAAGGTGCTGAATAGAAAACTTCCTTTTGCAGTTTGACAGGCACTCATCAATTGATGGATCACGTGGGACTGACATAGCTTTGAGTCCCTAGCGTAGATGGTCGATGTCCACATCATGCCACGAACAAGCTGTACAAATCTTCCCAAACTAAAAGATGTCAAAGTTCTCGCAAGACCGTTTGACGAATCGACGAAATATCGATCCTGGTCTTGTACGATGGATTTGAAGTTGGCTGGGATAGCTTTAAACGGTTGCCAATCAATGACGAGCATATTATTAGGAAAGAGAGAGCTGGTACTGGCGTTTTCCAGAATGCGTTTTTTAAACTCTTCCTTTGGGCAAGGTTGAAGTTTCGAACAGTTTTCTAAATTGTATTTCAAACTGACATGTTCTGGCTCAACTTTGTAGGTTAAAAAATCATAGTGGTACAGTTCTTTATCGCAGATGTTATGCTTTTGGTTCGTTTTTCTCACTCCTTGATAAGCCCCAGACCACACCGTGTACCTGGTACGCACAACTTTTGGGAATTTTTCCCGGATAAGCACAGGTGTAAGAGCCCTTAGTAAACCGAGTATACCATGACGTCTGTGATTAGGATCAACTCTTCCAGCTTCCACAAGCACTGATTTTTCCCCATCGACGATGGAGCATTCTTCGAAACCAACTACCTCTGTCCCTTTTTCGGCAACCAAAGAGATTCTGTTGGGCTCCAGAAGCCTTTTATGAAATCTGTAGGGGACATAGTCAAACGTGTCTTTAAGTTTCTTAGACAGTTTAAGTACCTCGTCAAAGTCACTTGCTTTTGCAAGTCGCACAACCACTTGCCCTTCTTGCAGACAGGAAATTAGACGTTTGTTTGTCCAGAAAAAACAATCTTTTCGACTAAACAGGGCTGCTGAAGAACCAAGACGGTGGAAAAGTCTTGAACCCATGTTTGAATTTGTAAAAAACAGCACGTCAGTAACCGCCCTAATCGATTCTTGATAACAACGTTCTTGATCGTTGGTTGTCTTCTAAGCTACGTAGAAACTTACTTCTTTTTATATTGGATACTTGCACACGCAGAGTTTTGCTTCTTACATCAATATCTGTAACAGGGAACGTCATTTCCTGTTATGAGAGGTTAAGTTGTGAATATCTATTTGGGATTGGCTTATTTCCCTCGATTCATGTCTTTCCGAGTGACGACACCTTAAACACAGTGATCTCTCCCCTAAGTGTATAGTAGTCACGTCTAGCCATGATAGATTGACTGAAGGCACAATTGCGATAGCTTGTATCATGTTACAAAAGATAGCAAGAACATAAAGGTAGCCATGAAAAAAGTTCCTTTCATTATAAGTGTTTTTCTTGCAAGAATGATTATTCGTGATTTGTGGTCTTAGAGTGATCTCGAAAACCCAGAATCTTGAGAAGCTGGCCGTGCCAGAAATTCTCGGAAAAACGCAACTGTCAGCCACCCGCGGAAAGGCTTTTGTGCCAAGTGCATCGATGTATGTCTTACATGTTGGATGGAATTGAGACATGACACGATTAACCACGTAAGAACTTCAAAGATGCTGGTTAGAATCTCAGCGTAAAGTCAACGAAGTCTGATATCGGTGGCTTAGTTTCCTTCTCTTCGTTATTAACAGACAAACTAAATTCTTAAATTTTGATGTTGAGGACGTTAGATAGGCTAAGCGACTTTGTTATCGTTTTCGAAAACGCGCAACGTGCTTGACTCATCCGGTTACACTTTTCTTTAATCAGTATAAACATTTCTTTATACAAGATCAAAAATTAAACCAGAGCTGATATGATCATGTTCTAAGAAAGGATTTAATCATCGACTGTTGTGGGTATAAAACATCGATCATGATACCATGTACATAACTTTTTGAAGGCGATGTGACCTCACTCACTTTAAGAACGTCGAAAGGATTTAATCATCGACTGTTTGAATGATGAAAAATGGTATAAAATATGAGAATCATCGATCAATCAAAAATGATGCCATTGAATTTAATTTGGCTAATTCTTTTTTTCATTAAGGCGATGATGACCTCAAGACAAGTACTGACATTTAAAAATTCTGGAGAACGTCGTCACCAAAATTCTAAAAAAACTGACTGAGTTGAAAGTAATTTACTCTTGTTTTTGTGAGCTGGCATGAATCGAAATGTACAGGAAGCAATAAAGAATGATGGCTGAAAGTCAGGAGGATTATGTTTGTTGTTGGTAACGACATCAAGTAACAAACGACTCTACTTTTCACACAAAAAGCGCAGACTGATTACTCAGATCGGTGGATTTCTAAACAAACGGTTTTCTTTTTCTCTCCTTTTTTTGTAACGTTGTCACATCGTAATATGTAAAGTAAGCATTACTTAATTAACTTCTCTATAACACTTAAGTCGTGCGTGTAATAACCAGTAACATCCCTAAAAAAACGTATGGAAACAAAGTATATTATTATTACTACTTCTATTTCATCGATTGTGATGCCTCAACCGCAACTTCAAGGATAAAATTTTTTGGATAGACCCACCATTGCTCATACTCTTAACGCATGGAAAGTCCGTCACAGCTTCTTTGCAATACTCATTAAGACAGGGATCTTAATAGGTGCTGAATAGAAACCTTTTTTGTGCAGTTTGACAGGCACTCATCAACTGATAGATCACATAAGGACTGACAGGCAAAGCTTCGAGTCCTTAACTTTGATCATTGAGGTCAAGCTGACATGAAAACCGCTTGGTTTAATATCGATCCTGATCCGATAAGATGTGATCGATACTGGATGGGATAGCTTCAAAATATGTCGGTCAAAAACAAGAATATTATTAGAAAATAGCGAGGAATGCACCCTTTGTTTACAGCACAGGTTTGGAGCCGTTTTGAATTTGTATCCAAAATTGACATTCTCTGACTCAACTTTGTAGGCTAGAAATCGCAACACTGCAGTTCTTTATCTTCCATCTGAAGTCCTCACAGGACGAAATCACATGTTTCCGTATTTCTGAAACGTGGTGGAAACATGCAACGCCATGTTTCCGTTATGTTTACGTAAAAGTGGTCCGGTTCCGTTGTATACGCAGCAACGGAAACGCGAGAAAACGTCACGAAACCGGTAACGGAAACACAGGTTATCCGTCGTGTTTCCGGAACGGTTTAACATGTTTCTGCCACGTTTCCGTTAACGGATTCTTGCAATTTCGTCCTGTCCCTATGGCTGAATGTTTGACTGCTTTGTAAATACCAGACCAAAGTGAATACCTTAAACGCACCAAAGTAGGAATTTCTTCCCGGGTAAGGCCAATCAAAAAACTAATAAGAGAACTGTAAATGCCTTAATGTCTGTGACTAGGATCAACTCTTGCAGCTTCAATAACCATTGATTCATTCCCGTCAACGACGCTGCATCTCATGAATCCCACCATTTTCGATCCTTTCTCAGCAACCATAGTTATTCTATTGGGTTCCGCGAGCCATTTCTTGAACTTGTATGGGGACGAAGTCGAATCGATCTGTTTTCCATCCTCTTAGACAGCTTTGATATCTCGTCGAAATCACCAGCATTTGCAAGTCGAAGAGCCATTTTTCTCTCTTGATTTCCCAAGGTCGATTGGCCAGTATGCCAACTCATGCCTACCTATAAACAGAAAGAGAGAGGAGAGAAAGTCGACCCACGTTACTCAGAATGAATAAGAGTCAATTAGAGTCGATCAATCAATACAAGTTAGAGTGGTTAAAGAAAAGAGGGAGTTGAATTTGCTATAGGTAGAATTGTATCAGAGAACAAAGATAGAAGATTACAAATGGACAGATCGAGAGTTTTGGGCGCCTTTCGCTGAGTGTGCTACGCTCTGCAGCCAGCTACAGCCAGCCACCAACCTATTCGGTGGGGCCCCAACTCTTCCCTTCAAGACATTCTTCTCCTGGTTGTCAGGCTTCTATTACCACAAGCTCCATGATCTCCAAGCTTCAGGAGGACAGGTTTCAGGCAAAACAGAAAGATGACAATTCTTTTGGATGGTCGCCCTTGAGTTTCTTAGGTATTTGCATTGTGCCGGTTTCAATCTAGAAGTATATATATGATAGTATTATTTATGATTTTAAAATAATTTATTTTGTTGTTTGTTTGATTATTGAGCTCAAACTCTAACGTCAGAATCTCTCAGTATTAAAACTGTTGTGGCTAACAAACAAAAGAAAATTTTTGTCTTTTTTCTTTAGCGCACGAACGCGGACGTGCGGCTGTCGCTTCTCTCTGCTTGAAGGATAACGTTTGCGAGCTCAAGTGACAAAACAGTTCCTGTGACGTAATACTTTTACCTTGGCATGTAAACAATCAGAATGCGATTACGCAACAAAATTAAGGGTCAATCTACTCACGTGCGACCTTGCTATGTTTGACTTCATGGAAGCTGTCATTAAATAACACGCATCAATCGATCCAAATTACTGCACGTAAGTTGATTCAGTCTTTGTCATACCACTAACAACAAGTAATTCTACCCACAGGGTTATGAGTGGTTTTAAGATGAAAGCTTGTGAGAACACAATTGGGATGGCGTAATGCCCGCAAAACAATAAGTTGTTTCGATTCTTTGCTCTCTTTTGGCATAGATAATCGATTAACTATGCTTTTGGAAAGGTCCGCGAAAGTAGCAAAAATATGTTATCTACTTTCTCATAACCTTGTTTGCCCACTTAGCGTTCCGGCATTACGATTCAATAATTTGACATTTATAGGGATTCACTCGGTAAAATTGTTGGAGAATTAAGACTCGGTTCAATGGAGCATTGGAGATGGAGTTCCGAATGAAAATACTTTACTCGTCCTCAACCTTTCCCTAAATACCGAAGAAATAAACTCAGACTGAGGCATCTTGATCGGCAAAGAGCCATATTTACCACGAACACCAGCAATTAAGACAGCAGTAATCATTCTAAAAGGGTGTCAACAGATGAAACCGTTAACTTTCATATGGTAAAAATCGAAATCTTCATGCTTGAGAATTGAAAGTGCTAAGGTCAACCGAGAAACGGTAAAGCCAAATGTCTTAAATTTTCAGACCAATAGTGTAACCCTTTAGAAACACAAATATTAGATTTCACGTCAGTTTTGATTCACTCATTTAAGAATAAATTATTTCATATTAAAATTAGATTCGTCGCATCATTGAGTTGATTTGAATGTATTTGTTTTGTTGGTCCAAGGATATCTTAAACTACATCAGTCAACATTTGGGGTTTTACCAGGAAAATCTAAAAATAAGTGAACGGATTCAAACCATGCATTATGTGTTTTCCATCTTCTTAATTTTGTTGAAATACACACAAGAATTTGGTGAAAGAAAATTGAAATGAAATACATCCTTTAATGTGTTTGTTTCTTTGTTATGTAGAGTCTTTGGCCTCGTGCAAACCAGCCGTAAGACTTGATTTCAGTCGCTATCCATCATTTTATAACCTAATATCACATCCTAAAATACTGAATTTGAAATTCCCTGCTAGTGTTCAGGATTGAATTATCATGTTTGACTGTGAGAATGAGGAACATTAATGACGGTGTTAAAAAACATTTTCGCCGAAATCATCAACAAAATATAACACTATTAAGAAGACTTGGAGCTATAAACAACAACAAGTACGATTGATTCAATTTAACGTATAGTTAAATTTTTCTATAGGCTTTCTTGAAATCAAGAGTATAATTAGGAAAGTAAATTTAAAAAAAGCAGAACCTAATGCAAATTACACACGGAATTATGATACACAGAAAATAAATAAAAAAAAACATTTAAACAAACTTGTTCAAGAAAATCCAAGTAAATTACAGAAAAGTAACTAGTACAAGTATGGGAGACATGCAGTAAATCAGACTGAGGTCTTTCAGATTGAAAAAGGCCATAAAGTATTCCATCACTCCCACGCGTAAAAATTAATGGTACAAGCTTCAAAGATAAACATCTTTTGAAAAGGTCCTTCATCGTTTATCCTTGTAACACCTGGAATGTCGTTAAGGACTTCTCTGTAATACTTGGTAAGGGAAGGATCTTGATAGGTGCTGAATAAGAAGTTTCCTTTGGCAGTTTGGCTGGCACTCATCAATTGATGGATCACGTGGGACTGACAAAGCTCTGAGTCCTTAGCGTAGATCGTCGACGACCACACCATACCGCACACAACCTGCACAAATCTTCCCAGACTGAAAGACGATGGGTGCAAATGGCTCTGACAACAATTTGACGAATCGACAAAATATCGATCTCTGTCTTGTGCGATGTACCCGATGTTAGATGGGATGGCTTCAAACGGCTGCCAGTCAATAACCAGAATATTATTAGGAAATATTGAGCTGGTAACAGCGTTTTTCAGAATTTTTTTTTCAAACTCTTCCTTTGGGCAGGGTCGAAGTTTCGAGCAGTTTTGTAACTTATGTTCAAAGTTGACTTGCTCTGGGTCAACAAAAATTTTCTTTATCTCTGATTTTGTGTTTTGGAAAAAATCGTAGTCAAGACCATACCGTTCTTTATCTCTGATTTTGTTAGCACAAATTTTAGAAACCGAATTTTGTAATTCTCCCAGTTCCATAGATACTGATTTTCATCAACGACGGTTCCTCCAAAGCCAACTACTTCTGTTCCTTTTTCTGCAATAACAGCGATTTTGTCGGGTTCCGCAAGCCATTTGTGAAACCTGAAGGGAAAATAGTCGAAGGTGTCTTTAATATTCTGAGACAGTTCCAAAATCTCGTCGTAGTCATTCGCATTAGCCAGGCGAACAGACACTTGCCCCTCTTCCAGACGAGAAAGGAAACTTTTTTTTTTTGACCTTAAAAGACAATCTTTTCGATATAACAGGGTTGTTGACAAACCAAGCCGGTGAAACAATTTAGATGTCATTATTTGAATTCGTTAAAGCATTGCTTCACTAACGCACATGAATAATTTCGCCGATGATCACAAGTTGTCTTCTGAACTACTGAGTAAATTATTTTTCTTGCTTATATAATGGATGATTGCAAACATGTGGTTTTGGCTTTTGCGTCAATACCTGCGGTTGAGAAAATATTACCGGTTCCCATTCGTAGGAGGCTACGCTTGAATGTCTCGATGAAAGCAGTTTATTTCGCCCCAAATCACATCTTCCCGGATGCCATCGTCCTCAGACTTAATGACCTCTTCCTCAAAGGTAGTCACGTGACCCGCCTGAAGGTGCAAGTTGTATTGCTTCATGTTGCAACCAACACCAAAGCCGGAATAATAAGAAGTTGGTGAAAAAAATTGTTTCCATCGCTAAGCTTTCTTTCATACATTACAGAGAAGCTGTGACTTGTGAACTTTGAACAATCTCAAAGAACCTAAACACTTGGCTAAAGAGGCTGGCAGTTGCCCTTTTCAAGAAATTCCAAGAAAGCGCAACTGTCGGTTGCACTAGGCACAGCTTATAAGCCAAGGGCAATGTTGTACATGCGCTGCTGGATGGATTTTAGACATGGCATGACTGGCCACGCAAGAACTTCAAGATGCTGGATAGAATTTAAACATAAAGTCAACGAAGTGTAATAATAGAAGCGTAGTTTCCTCCTCACCGTGATCAACACATAATCCAAATAACTGAAGTTTGATGTTGGGAGCGTAAAGGCAACCCAAATTTGACTTTTCTTTACTCTTAAAGTCACACTTTACCTTAGTAGTGGAAGCCTTCTTTTATACACGATTAAAAATTAAATCAGAGCTGATGTGGTCGTGTTATAAGAAACATTTTATCCTTGATGCATCTGGATGTAAAACATTGATCATGATGTTATGTATCCAACTCTCTGTGTTGGGAGATGTGACTTCAAATTTTGTGTCAATCTCTTACTTCCGGTTTTTTTAATAAGCCCTTATAGTATCCGGCCGTATATCACTCTATGTCAGTCAATGTATGATGGCTGACTTTGTACGGTTGAGAATAATAACAAGTACTCGTGGCATGAAATGAGAGCCCATATACAGCATAGTAAAGTACGGTAGTTCTTATTAATTCTCCAAGCATTATTTTATACACGATTAGTAAATTAAATCAGTGATGATGCGGTCGTGTCACGAGGAAATATTTTATACCTGATGCATCTGAATGTAAAACATTCATCATGATAGAGAAAGATGTTTTTCGTCTTGTCACGAGCGTGGGACAAAGAAAATTCTGAGTCCCCATGAGGAATCGAACCTCAGACCTTCGGATTCCGCGCTTCGATGCAATACCGCCGAGCCACAGAGACTCTATGGTGAGCGAGGCGTATTACGAAGTTCCTAATGACACGCGTCCTACATACTGCTAGGATCAGCGATGTCGATAGCTTCATGTTTGTAAATCGAGTAAGAAAGATGGTATGGTACTGACTTTTTTATCACTAAAAAGGTAGACACGGGAAAGACTTAAGTGCTTCAGTCCTTGTGTGTTGATTTAATTGTTTTATATTAGCATTTGAAAAAAAATCGCCATTTATGGCCCCTATTGACTGCCGTATATTTCCTTGCTGTTTGTGAAATTTCATAACAATCATTATCACAATTTTAACACAAAGAAAAGTTCCGGGGGATCAGGAATTAAAACTAACTAAAGAACAATCTATGAGAAAACCAACGTAGATAGTGTACCAAGACTACTTTTAGAGAAGGCCATAAAATCCAATATTCGAGTCACTTACGTATGCTTAAGATTAACAGATATTACTAGATTAACTAAGCAGAAGAAATTGGCTTTTTAATTCTCTGGAACGCTCAAAACATACAAAAAAATGGACGAAAATCACGAAAATCGTTGAAGTGCTGAGTATTGTTTCAAGTGATAATTTCAAGTTATGCTTTTGTGAACTGGCATGAAAATAAATTTACGGGAAGCAATGAAGAATGTTGGCTCTCAATGGAATATGTTGATTAACCACTTCTATAGACAATTAAAGTCTCAAGGCTTTAACACTAAAAGTATAGACTGAAAGTGCAAAGTGAATCTCTAAATACCGTCTATCATCACTTGTGAATGTTTTAAAGTCCTCAGCGGGCACGTTCGTTCTTTGAAGTCCTATTTACTCAATCAGAACAAAAACATTTTTTCGAATTCTATTACAAACATTTTTTGAATCCATAATTAAGTGATGCTTTTGTTTTTTAACTGACACGGGGGCGTTTAGTACCAACAATGTTTTTAATACCTATACTTTGCTCAGGTCTTCACAAATGACATTTTCTATCTTTTCCTTTTGGTTAAACGGTTACATAATTAAGGAGTCGCTGAACGAGTCGTCTTCACTTATTTAGTCTCAAACTACTTCAAGCAAGGACACCGTGCTTAGCAAAATTCAATCAACGCAAAAATAGCTTGCGTCTCATGTTTATGCATTTTACTTTGCTGAATTATTTGGATGAATTTCCGTTCAAGCGTGAACAATTAGTCCGAGGTACTTAGTCGCTTGAAACGCTTGAAGTATGTGTATGCCCAAGAGGGGTACAACATGGACTTTTTACTGAATAATACTCTTACAGACTCTGTTGGCGATGTCACGACGCAGGATCCTCGATCAAGAGGTGGTGTATTCCTTCAAGCTGCCTCTATGGTGGCTATAATACTTGTTGCGTTGGGGGGCAATCTACTCATTCTGGCGGCCATTTACATCGACAAAACTCTGCAAACAATTACGAACGCGTTCATAATCAATCTAGCCTGCGCCGATTTATTACTTACTATGATCGGGATGCCTTTTACACTCGCCTCATCCATCACTTATGATTGGATCTTCGGGGACAAGTGGTGTAAGGTCAACGGTATGGCCAACTCTTTGTTTTGTATCGCTTCGATTCTCACGCTCGCAGCGGTGTCAATTGATCGATACTGTGCAATTCTCTATCCTTTTAAGTACGGTACGTGGATAACGAACAAAGTTGCCGCTGGAATGATTACTTATATATGGTTCCATGCCTTACTTACGGCTTGCCTACCACTCACCGATTGGACGCAGTACACTTTTATACGATCCGAGTCTATCTGCACTGTTGAGTGGGGGTACAGTATTTCTTACACAATATTTCTATTTTCCGTGTGCTTTTTCTTGCCACTTGCCATAATGATGGTGACATATTTAAAGATTTTTCGCACAGCCAAGATGCAATCGAGGAAAGTTGTCCCAATTACGGGTTCAATTGGAGTGAAGGAGGAACCCAGCTCAAGTGAATACTCTGGTTTCCGAGACGATAGTCAAACGCATTTGAACTCCACATCAAAAGATCCGCACTCTGTTTTATCAGTCCAAGATCTGGGCAAAAGTCAGAGTTCAATAAACAGCGACGTGTACGACGAAAAATTCTTATCAGGTCGTCAAACACCGATGATAATTTACGACGAACGAAAAGAGGTCACGACATCATCTTTTAAAATGACAAACACTAGCGATCAACCTTCTAAGGATTCTGGTTTTGAAGAGGGAGGTTCAATAAGTTATCTAAAACCAAGGAGAACTTCAAGCGAATACGGAAGCACAGATAGGGGAAGCATTTTGAATAGCAGTTGTGAAAGTGTACAAGATTCAGCTATCTTATCGAACGAACCAATCTGTGACAACATACACGATCGACAGTGCGCATCAACTCTACTAGACAGTGCGTACGTGGACATACCGCCTCCTAAATCAAATACCAACACCATGAAAAGGAAGACTGGTGCCATTTATTTACCTCCTCTTCAAAATGTGAAAGGAAAAGAGGAAATGGAATCAATTATGCAACATTTTAATGAACCTCGTGCAGATTTAGGGAATTTAAACAGTTACAAGTCAAATGTAAACGAATCAACAAATGACAGTGACGCAAATAATACGAACGAATACCCTTCATATGCTATGAAAACGGATGATAACTTAGAAATAAGAAGGTCTTGTCGGTCAAATAGCCTTTTAGTCGGGGCGATTGTACAACCGCGACAAAATAGAGCCTATAGTGACTCAGATTTTGCCAGGCAATCGTCGCAAATTCCTGTAGTTGTTTCTCAATGTTCATCTCAAAGTTCGTTTGCTTTCTCGTCAAAAAGCGTTCGAGAGGGTAGCAAAGCCTCTCCCACAATGCGTAGAAAAAAGTTTTCAACTGTTTCTATCACCACTTTAAAGAACTTTGCGGGGCCAAACGCGTTTAGAGCATTTAGCAAATCAAAACTTGCGCTTGATAAACTTCGAAAAAAGAAGGACGTACAAGCCCGAGCGAAAATGCGACGTGAAACCAAAGCTGCTAAGACTTTATTGATTGTAGTAGGCACATTCGTGTTGTGCTGGACACCTCACTTTATAGGAATATTTTGCCTCTTATTTGAAGGCTGTTCATGGCCGGATGAATTCTTTGCTATCACCACTTGGCTTGCAATGTTGAACTCTGCCTGCAATCCTGTTATTTATGGAGTAATGAGCCGGCAGTTTAGGAAGCGATTCAAGCAGATTTTACAGTGTAAAAGAGGTTTCTTTTGAATGCTTATTACAGAGCACAGACGAGAAAGGATGACAATTGCATGTAAAGTAATAAAATGAAACATTATGCTGTCCCTCAGCGCACAGATAGGGCCGCATTTGTAGAAGGTTGATAAATCAACAAAAAGGACCTTTTCATTGTCATTACGCAACCATTTTAAAGTAAAACACAATACCGACAATACCATATCATTAGCATTCATTCAATACTTCATTGTATTCCTTTCACTTTTGTCTTTTGTATTTTTAACCAAATCTTTAGAAATTAGCTCATGCTTAGCGTACGTATTACTAGGTATGCATGCACACGGGAAGTTTGGAGAGCACGAGACTGAGAAGCGTAGAGTTGCTCGAGGCGAGGGCGAGACTTTTGACTCTTCCGATTCTTGAGTGCCCTAAAATTTCCCAGGTGCATTTACATCTACCTCTATATAAGCATGCTAGACATGAATTAATTATCTCAGATCATAGCAGGAGAACTTGTGCGCGAAAAAGGAATTTTATTGCAACTGCGCTGGGTTTACCCAGAAATCACTTATACTACCTGAAAACTATCAATAGAAGACAAATGAATATGGAGGCCATCTTCGCAGTACTGAATACCACTCAAGCAGTAGTGAATAGCGTTCATTATTGCAAAGATCGCTTTCATATTCATTTCCTGGCCCGGAGTTCACATATATGATTTTCATATATTCACAGTCAAAGAAGGCAAGCTAACTATGGCAAAGAAATATTTCGAGACCAATGGTTTACGCAAGAAACATTAATTTTTTTTTTTTTTTGCAGTGAAAAACGTATGAATTTCTTGCATGACGGGGTCTGGGTAGTATAGATTCCTCACGCTTGAATGCTTGTTTACCACAATCCACAGATAGAAAATTGCGCAGCGCAAAGTCTTTTATTCGACGTTACCTTTTGGACCTATCAACATCTGATAACAATATTTACCCTTCGAAATAAAAGAGTCCGCTGGAACCTCGCAAAGCCTCACTTGAAGTCAGAAAGCTCGGTTTTCTTTTTCCATTTATAACTCGTATCGTGTTTGACAAAAAAGAATCGTTCGCTCCAAAGGTAATTTCGTCGCTTGAATGAGTTGCATTTTCACTGTTTTTCGAATGGAGTATTATTAAGCATATTTACCGTTCATTTACAGCTCCAAAAGGTATATCTCAATCAGAATGGATAGGAAAATAATCTTGATAGTTTTGAAAAATTGCGGCTTAATTGGACGGGATTTTGCAGCTGAAGTGAAACTACGCACTTCATGTTGTCACTCACGGCAGGGCTTTTATTTAACCAAAAGGTACCATGCTGCCTCGCATCTGTTCAGTAATAGATCACAGATGACGTCAAATTGTGGTAAAAACAACAAAGTGGCACACGAGAAGTAGCTGAGTGTGTTTCTGATGTTTTTGTGTATCACTCTCTCACAACATTGAAGGGACCGGATAGTTCCTTCCTTTTATCAAATAAACTAAAGTTTTTAAAGAGCCCAAGAGGTCATTTCGACTCCAATTATTGATACATTAATCAGCCATTAGCGGAAGCCCTTACAAGTTACTGATACACCATCTCTCTAAGTGTTATGCATCATTTGATTCTTACGTAGAGACGAACGTAAATATTGCATAACAGATCATTGTTCAAACACTATCATTTTTCTCCAAAAGCGTTTAAACTTCATTGAACGAGAACAATTCAGTCTTTTTTCGTAACCAAGGTGAAATGATAACCGAGTGAGGTATTTGACAGCGAGTTGTACCTCATTTCCAGTCCTGCATAGTCAACCACAGAAACAAAACATCGAAGTGACAAAACGTCGAGTCGAACGACGAAACGATGTAACACAGTGACGCAACAAAACGAAGGAACGACTCTACGTAACGAAGAAATGAAGGAGCACGGCGGAACACCATGACATAACGAAACGACAGAACACAACGAAGAAAAGACGAGTCTATCAGTTTGTCCACAAGGTAACTTTATGGTTCACGGCTCTTCCTGTGCGGCTACGACCCGCTCAGACTCAAGTTTTTTTTTTCTAGTATCCATGAGATATATCATTCAGTCCTTTGCTTTAGTATGACTTGCATTGTATTCAAACATTATACAAAACGGTGTAAAGCTGTACAGCGTGTATCCAAATTGGCGTGAAAAGAATTTTAGACGTTATGACGACAGAGGTTAAGATGTGGACACAGTATCGAATTTTCACGGAGGCCTTGATCAGTCATCGAAATGGGGGCTGGAAAGGAAAAAATTAATATGGGTTCCTATATATTTATATATTTTTTGAATGTAGCAAGTGATTATAAACCTCTAAAGGCCGATCATTGAGACGTATGAGACTAAAAGTAGTCCTAAAGCAATACAAAAAAGCTGTGAGCTAAAAAACAGCGAAATGCCAGAGAAAGGACTCAGGTGGGACGGGTGGGACATCAGCATCGGCTGGTATGTTGTAAAGAGAGAGTATGATCGCCATTAGGTATTACAAATGTCCCTCGACTCCTCAGTACCCGCTGTTGACCTTTCATTTAATATAGCAAAACTATAGTATTTATATCCACAAGTGATTAAAATGACAATGTTCAAAGTAGACTTGATATCGTATGAGAGATGGGACACTCCACAAGGTTTTCAACGACTTCTCTTTTTCTTCGAATTATACCATATGAGGTGTTTGATAAATCGGAGACGGGGCCTGGTGTGTTACACTGTTTCTGGGAAAAGATACCTCCTTTTAACGGTGGTATGAATGGGTTCCACGGTGAGTTCTTGGGAAAGCCTGAAAAAATGCCAAAGGACAAGGTGGGGGGCTCCGTGCGCTGAATCAGGACCGGTTATTGAACTTAAAAACGCTAAACTCCACCCTCCGCCTCCTAGTATGTATGAAAAGAATCGTTAAGCAGGAGTAGGTGAAACATTAAGTTGTAGCTATGGTTGTTTTGGCCAAGTAAACAGACTGAATGTTGTTACGTGGATTTCAGCTGGTGTCAATCCTGTTCTACCGCAGGTAAGTCACGTTCAACAGATTAGTTCACCCAACACTTGAATTTTTTTCTGTGGGATCCTTGGTGCACGTGCATGAAAGAACATCAGGATTTCTTTTGGTGCCCTGCGATACTTCTTTTTCGTTACCACACTTATCCAATGGATCTATAATGACGTCAATTGTAACATTCTTTATCTCAATTTTTCTCAGCTTACTTTTTCTCAGCGTATATGGAATGTTTTGTATTGCATCTTAATCCATTTTAAATAATTAAAGCTTATGACCTAACAAAAACAATAATGTTAGGCTTCGCTGTTCCATTTTATTGAACTTTCTACCTGTCATTATCAGCCACAAAGCAAAAATAATTGCTTTGGTTAAGGAAACAAAAGAAGGCTTTTCAAGATGAAAAGTTCCGCACGCCTTTGAAAGTAATAAACTTGACAATAGCTACCCAAGTTAAATTAGTATTCATCGTCGATTCATAACAGTTTTGCAATTAAGATCGTTCCATCTCAGTCGTTTTGTTTTCTTAGAGACGTGCTGGTACAATTATTTTCATGTTATTTTTGGTCTAATTTTAAGCAAAAGATTACGTGTTTGAGGAGATTAGACAGGAATTAGCGGCAACTAATCCTCAGGGGCTTTTATTTCATCAACGAACCGTAATTACCTGCCATTTTCCAAAAACTCCAACAACTCTAGTTAATAGAAAATACCGTCTTGATTTTGGTCCGAACATCAGAGGGGCATTGTTTCTCTTTGTGTCAGCAGAGTTCTCAGTCACAAGGAAATAACTTACTTGTCAAACCTTCAGTACTCAAGCGGCTTGTATAACAGACTTGTTCCATCTATTGTCGAATTTCTTAGTGTTGTTGCAAGTTGCCTCCACTTGACCATTAGTATCCAAGATGTGGCGACAGGAAGACACAGAAGAAGGTAATCACCAACTTCTAACATTGGTTCATGGAGTGGACCGTAAAGGAAGACCAGTAATCAAGGCATATATTGGAAACTCTAAGCATCCTGTATATCAAGAGTATCAACACGCCATTGATAAACACTGTCAAAAGGCTGCGAGGCTCGCTGCTTCCTCCAGAGCCACTTTTTCGCCACATGGGGCTAACAACAGTCGTTTTTATTATTATTCAGAGAGTTGTAGTGAATCCTCACCTTGCACTCGCGTTCTTACTCGGAATACCTTGAATGTTACCGGCGCTAGATCAAGGCCCATGATACCTGACTTACGAGACATGCGTTTTATGAGTTCCAGACTGCGATGTTCGTTAATGTTACACTCGTGTTTAGGAGAAACGGGGAAAGAACGTGACTTTCCACCACGCATTCCCATTCGGGTCAAGAAACAGCCCCCTTCAGACTGTCCAAAGAAAGGGACACCTCCTTCGACACAAAACTCTGCGGGGGAGACGATTAAAGATAAAAATGTAACACAACCTGCTTCCTCGGAGGCTAAAAAGAAAGGTTATTGCAAGGGTTGCAAAGTTTAGTGGATTTATTCCAAGACGAAAAAGAAAACAAATCAAGACAAAAAGAGGGATACAGTGAGAAAAAGAACAGTGATGGAACTTTAACGATGAGTGTTGGACGTTGCAATGCAGCGTCGATGTAGATGAATTCATGCCCGCTAAGTGACACAAGCAAAGCAATATCATGAACCTTCGTGTTCGCTACTATCCTCAACTGTTATCAGTTTGCTTTATTAGAAATACGAGCCATTTAGTAGAGATATTTAGGCTTAAGTGGTCTTTTAATGACGAAATATCACTGAACTAAGACATATTTTCTATATGAGGTTAGTTTTTGAAATATTCCATATAACGGCAGAAAACCACGAAAACGGTCACCCTACCGGAAGCTCGGATTTCACCTGGCGGAAACTCGAAATTTTACACTTTTCAGCTTCTCGCTACACAGACGTTTACATAGCTGTGAATCTTTCTTAAGTATAATTGAATACATTGATTCTTCCTTAGTCAAACCATGGGAATTATTTTTATCTCTGCTTATTTGTGAGCGAACTGAGACCCGATTAAGAAGACACACTTTTCTCATTTACGCGAAGGTGTAAAATAATCCAAACTCAGCGACGAAAAAAGCTGACCGGTAGTTCTTCAAATCCTCTGATATTATAACCAAAGACAGCTCAGTCATTGATTTTTAGGTCTACGGTTTTAAATCTTTAGGATCTAGTAGCACTTTTGCATGAACGCCGATCAAAATTCGATAAAATTCCAATTGAGCGCCTTTGAAATCTACAACTCTACATAACAATGCACTATTGAATAAATTAACTCCTCGGCCAAAGTTTGTACATAAAACATGAGGGTTTTACTTTCTTAGCGGTTTGAACCTTTTAAAAATATATATTGATGTTAAATATTGTCTACACAGGTAAAACAAACTATGAAACACCAAAATTACCACGAGCTGAAATTAAATCTCACAGGCTCGCTCCCTAATCTGTGTCACGCACGAGCGACTTCGCTACAATTAGTACAGTAACAAACAGAGATTTACATCTATTAATTTACAATAAGTCGTATTTTTAAAATGTCTTACTCGACGATGTGCCAGGTTCCCCAGTTAACTTGCTGAAGTAAAAATAAAAGAAAATATCATAATAGCAATTCAAACTGAAACGATAAGAATTGATTTTATTAAGAATAAGAAGCTTTATGCCGTCGATAGCCAATCAGAAGTACCTGTTCTCACGAAAATTGCATCGTTCTTTAAATAAATAAATCGAATTATCTTTATCTGTGAAACATTGCATCTAAAACCAGAGTTTATTGTCGGGGAACTTCATAGAACAGCGATGTCTTGCTCGTTCTTGAATATTGTTGGTGGGATTTGCGGCGCAGACGAACGCACAAGTTCTTCAACTTCCGTCACGCCTCTCACGCGGTGTAACAGGGATATCAAAATTCACAAAAAGTCGTTGAAATTTTCCGGAATTGAAACGGAGGTAGAATTAATTTTGGCGAGATGTGGATGTTTTCAAAAGCCGGCGAATTTATCGGATATGACTATCTGTCCGGTTCATCGTGCCAAGTTAGGTTTAGGTTGGCGAAGGACGGGTAATCTTTGCACCATCCCGGAAGTTGTTTCTGGTCACTGCAAGGAGCTGAGGAAGGCACCCGCACTGGAAAAAAGGAATAAATTTATTCCAATCCATGAAGATATTTGAGCTTTCAAAACAGCTCGTCCCTGTGGGCTCAGGTAAGCAACCAACTACTTGATGTTCTACCAAACAGAAACTGTCTCCAATGAATTATTTATTATGGCCATATTGGAGTGATGCAACGACCGTAATTGTGCTATTAAACGTAAACATATAAATGTTGGTGTGACGTTTCCACTAGTATACTGTGCAAACTGTGCACTTTGTGGGTGGTTGGGGAGAGAGAGTAGTATGGTTGTTAAATCCTTTCCCCCACCCCTTCCCTCCTTTTTAAATGTCGTAAAAATGACAGTGCACATCATTTATTCTTCGGTGCCCTCTTTGGAAAATTCTTAGTATTTTTCATCGAATATTGTCTAAATTAAACTTTATTTTCTCTATCAATGACAGACTGTAGTGTTGTTTGACAAGCGCAATCAATAAAACATGCAAGTCGTAAAACTCATAGTGTTTTTTTTATAGTCGCATTGGACAACAGAATGAAGAGGATACAAAACTCATTGGAGACAGTTCCTGCTTGGTGGTACATTTTTTAGTTGTTATTTACCTGAGCCCATAGGGACGAGCTATTTTGAAAGGTCAAATATCTTCATGGATTGGAAAAAATATATTCCTATTCCAGTGCGGCTACTTTTCACAGCTCTTGCTGAGTGACCCGAAACAACTTCCTGTATGGTGCAAAAATTAATACTTTTGAACATGATGTATTTCTCGGTAAGTGACACAGGCATAATCGGAAAAAAAAATCCGAGTGCTTCATGGGACAAACATCCTGCATACTGCTAGGATTGGAATGTCATGTGTGGCATACGCGCAATGGAATAAATGTGATGGAATATTTTTAAGCCTGGTGAATAAATGAGAATGATGTATTATTCAGTAAGTGACACAGGCGTACTCGAAAAAAAGAAATCCGAGTGCTCTCGGCCATCAGGAGTCCAAACTATCGACATCGTGTCAGGTTATGCCTAAGTGACACGATGAGACGGTACGGGTAGTCATCTCCAATAAACTCGTTGGCTTTTAAAAACACGCAATCTTGCTAAAATCAATTCTGGCTCAAGTCCGGAGAGTTTTTTAGGACTTCGTGCGATGTTTTATATCCTTGTTACACAGCGTGAGCAGTGTGACGAAAGCTGAGTAAGGGTAGAAATTAGCCATTGGAAGTTACTTAGCAAGTGCGTTCGTCTGCGCCGCAAATCCCACCGACAATATTCAAGAACGAGCAAGACGTCGTTGTTATGTATGTCTATTAACTTCGCCAACAACATACTCTGGTTATATGATTAAGTAGATTTGTTTATTTAGAGAACGATGCAATATTTGCTTTTCGTGGAAACAGTTACTTCCGATTGGTTTTCGACGGCACAAAACTTCTCATACTAAATAAAATCAATTATTATTGAGCTAGAATTACCATTAAGGTTTTCTTTTTTTTTCAGCAAGTTAACTGGGAAACCTGGCACATCTTTGAGTAAGACATTTTAAAAATACGACTTATTTAAAATCAACGGATGTAAATATCTGTTTGTTACTGTACTAATTGTAGCTAAGTCGCTTGTGTGTGACGCAGATTAGGGAGCGAGCCTGTGAGATTTAATTTCAGCTCGTGGTAATTTTGGTGTTTCATAGTTTGTTTTACCTGTGTAGACAATATTTAACATTAATATATATTTTTAAAACGCTTCAAACCGCTAAAAAAGCAAAACCCTTATGTTTTATGTACAAACTTTGGCCGAGGAGTTAATTTATTCAATAGTGCATTGTTATGTAGAGTTGTAGATTTCAAAGGCGCTCAATTGGAATTTTATCGAATTTTGATCGGCGTTCGTGCAAAAGTGCTACTAGATCCTAAAGATTTAAAACCGTAGACCTAAAAATCAATGACTGAGCTGTCTTTGGTTATAATATCAGAGGATTTGAAGAACTACCGGTCAGCTTTTTTCGTCGCTGAGTTTGGATTATTTTACACCTTCGCGTAAATGAGAAAAGTGTGTCTTCTTAATCGGGTCTCAGTTCGCTCACAAATAAGCAGAGATAAAAATAATTCCCATGGTTTGACTAAGGAAGAATCAATGTATTCAATTATACTTAAGAAAGATTCACAGCTATGTAAACGTCTGTGTAGCGAGAAGCTGAAAAGTGTAAAATTTCGAGTTTCCGCCAGGTGAAATCCGAGCTTCCGGTAGGGTGACCGTTTTTCGTGGTTTTCTGCCGTTATATGGAATATTTCAAAAAACTAACCTCATATCCTTCAGTTACTTACCTAGGCCTTCAAACTGACAAAGTATGAGCGCAATCGATTTTTTGACCGTGGCCACGTTTTTTGAATTTTCCTTGATTTTTACTGACATTTACTCTTAATACTCCACAAAACTATGGCAATCACTTCGGCAGTCGGCATCTGACACAAGTGAATGGCCTCATTTCATAAAATATACTCTATGTCTTTTCTAAAATAAACAATAATCAACAAACATCCACAAAAGGTAGTTTTAAGTAGACGGTGCGATTCTTTTGTCTCTTGTAAAGAGGCCAAGATCAAGTTTAGGAAAGATAGAGAACCTGGAGTTGTTATGAAGATGATTAAATGAAAAACCTAACTTTCATTTGCTTTCCGTTGAACTCTATTAAAGAATGCATGTTTCAAAGTACTCTGCTAATGGACGACGCGGGAAAAGCAAACAGTCTATAAGTGTTAATGAACTGCCTCGTTTAGAAGCTCTAATATCACTTGTCAACTCAAGTTATAAAGAAGAGCAAGAGGACATTTCTAAGCCATAAGACCTCTCATATCTCTTGACCAACAATTTTCCCGACAACGAGCGGAACACATGAAGCTGTAAAATCAACTTTTACAACTCCAATGTGATGGCAAAGCATACTTTCATTTTCCGGTTGACTGTCATTCTGAGATCCAATCCTAATCTTATCACTTATTCTTTCATGTTTGATCACAGAGGTCATGATAGCCGTTTAACATAACAATGACCACGGCTATTCCAGACGAAGGGCGGTTCATGATACTAAACAGATAAATTGCACCTCAGCCTCAGGTGGAGAAATTACAGATCAGACAGGTAATGTAAGGAAATTGCACTTCATTTTATCTTGCTTCAAACTGAGAGATTTTGTCTCAAAAACGTTATCCTTTGATACTACAGCTCGTTCCATTCTATACAGATTATGCTTGGAAAGAAATAATTTTCAAAGAAGCTTAGCGAGAAATTGGAACATCAAATAATTTGAAGACGAGTTCGAACTTCACGTCGGTTGATCTGGAAAATGAGAGAGGCTCAATAGGTATAGGGTACTTTACATTTTTGTCGTTTGTTCATCCATATTTTTAAGAATGTCAGGTGCACCGTTGTCCGACCAAGTTACGAAAAAGTACATAGCTTCAAATCGCATTTACTGACGCTCAGCAAAATATGTTTATAATTATTAATAATTCAAGGCTTTTAAACGCTTAACTTAGTCATCCGCACCTTAGAAAGTACATCACAGAAACTGAGATTTCTTTTATTTAGCTTTATATTTCTCTTTCGCTCTTGAACGAAACTTTTCGCAATATGGTTATTTTTCTGATTAAAATATTTTAATAAAAGAGCAAACTCACACTCAGAAGTGAGAATATTCCTCAATCATATCAATGTACATGAGTTTAAAATTCTATGGGCCATATCCCTAGGCTACAAGCTATTACTAAGGCGTTTTCATAAACCTTTTATCTACTTTGCCAATAACAACATAAAAGTTGCCCTTAGTTAAAAAGTCCAATATATGAAATATTCCTAAGTCACTATTAAATAAAAAAAAAAAATAGCATCATGAAAGGCAGACACCCTTATGGTTATTGTTCCAAGTGAAGCCGTTACGTCTAAATGTTGAGTGACCCTCTCCATGTTTTTCATCGTGCGAAATTTCTCTGGCTTAGAATTCAAAGTGATGTTGCCAAGTAGTTATTTATCACTCTTATAATTAGAAATATTGAAGTTTCATGTCATTTATCGGTATTGTTAAGTGTCAAATCATCTATCGACACAGCAATACAATCAAGCTATTACCATGCAATGATAGAAAAGTGTCGAAGAGGGAATTAGGATTAACTGAGAGGTCATTCTCAACATATTGATTTTTCAAATATTTGACATGCTACCTAACAACATTTTGCATGATCAACTGAATTTCGATGTGATGATAGTGGTCGTGTTTGTTGAGTCATGTTTTCACTATAAAGGTTTATCTTTTCGTGTTCAGCAAAAGAACCAGTCCTATATTGTCACAATGCCTCAGCGTTAAAGGTTTGGGTATGCATAGTTCATGAAAACCTAACGTTTGCGAAGGCGTTACCTTGCTGTAGCTGCAGGACTGCTTTCTCCTTTTTTCCTTTAAGCCTAAAAATAAATCTCTGGTCTTCACCTTAAACGTTACTAGCCATATGAAAATTCATGCCTATACCCTCTTATAAAACACCACCACCAAACTCAGTCTTCTGGTTTTCCTTAATTACCCCGAGAAAGGATGTAGTGAAAATGCTTGCAAGACTTTTCCACTGTTGGTGCGTTGGATTCTTCTACTCATGGTGGGGAGGTGGTTCTGAATTGTTATCATCTCGAACTAGAGGACTGGGTCTTGCTTACGTTCAAATCGTACACTTGGGTCCGGGAACATTGTCTAGTGAAAGCACCCAGAACTTTTCGTCCAGTTGCAGAGAACGCTTCACGGAAGTTCTGCATTCTTGAACCATATATAGAGAAGTTAATGGCAGAGTTTGAAAGAGCCAAGGTCCTGATCCACATATAGGCAACTCCGTGCTTCTTGATCAAAAGGCGTCCTGTTGCATAAAGCACTACGACGAACGGAAGCCAACATGCTGTGAAAACAAGAATTACGATCCCAAGGGTGGAGGCCACTCGGATTTCAACGTGAGTCTGATGACTAGCATTACTATTTCGGCGCATTTCAAGTTGCTTTTCTTGTCTTTTATGTCTGACGAGGGAAATCACGATAAGTGAGTAAGACAAGAAAATAATTCCGTAACTGATTGCAAACATCAACAAAGCAAAAATATCTTTTGGAAAGGTTGGTGGAACAACGGCGCTTAAGATGGGAACTGAGATTGGATATGCCCAACACGTTATCAACATTGCTTTTAATCCGAAGGTATCTGACATGGCTCTGTGGTGCAGGGGAAACACAACTGCGATGAAACGATCGATGCTGATTGCCGCCATATGTAGTACAGAAGCAGAGCACGAAAGCATAGATAAAATCACGTATGGGAGTTCCAAGTCTGGTGCACAGTCGTTGAAGAACGTCCTTTTAGTGAAGATTGCCACAACAAGGGGCTCGCACGCCATGGTGACAATCAAATCAGCGATGGCCAAACTGAACAGAAGGTAGTTGGATGGTCTGCGTAAGCGAGGATATATGACAACTGCCAAGCAAACCAGTAGGTTACCAAGTGTTCCAAACAACCCCACGAAAGCATTTGTGGAAATAAGAGCGATGCCATGAGCTACAGGGAGAGAACAATCTTCTACTGAGATGTTGGCGGATAAGGTGGTGCTGTCGTTCAAAGAATCATTCATTGTTGAGACCAACGACTCAAAGCTCACAAAAGATGACAAATGGTGTTGGCACTTGCCTAAAGTAAAATGATATAAATGACAGGTAGAGAAGCGGACAGTAAGCTTTATCAGCGCAATGAAATGGCGATTAATCCTACTTTATTCTAATACTGTTACAAAAGTAAGTAATTCCATAATCAGTAACCAATATAATTCGGCTTTAATCATTTATATGCTTTTTAGAAAATATTGCAGGAAGTACAAAACATGACAGCTTGCCATTTCGACTCTTAAAAGTTTGGATGGAAGCGAGTTTCAGTTGAAAAGGAGCAACTTTGTGAGCTGTGATTTTTATTACATAACTCGTTCCTCCCGAGAACTCCATATTTTCGTTTAATGCAATCGTATACTGACGTATTCTGATACTCGGCACAGAAAGCAATTTGTGATAACATCAATTTCCTCGAGACACCGGAAAATGATATTTATCTTTCAACATATTCAAGTTTGTGCATGAAAATTAGTGCTTTTTGAAGTAATATAGCATTGTTGCATTTGAAGTAAATTGACCTCTGCTTTAACTACGAGTCAGCACAAACCAAGCTTTGAGTTGAGTGCCCGTCTGCTTTAGAGATAAAGTGGTGAGAGACCATTACGTGTGGGAGGGGGAGTTGAAATGTCAATACTCAATTGACTTGAAGTTAGTCAAATCCAAATATGGTACGAGTGAAGCTGAAGACTGACTCAAGACACGCAAGAATATATTTAACCTAAACTAACTTAATAATAAAAAACATGATATAAACACAAACACAAATTAAGGTTAAAGTTACTGAGCATGCCGTGCAAATTTCAAAACTGCTGACCTCGTGATGATGTACTGATTTATCTAAATCAGATAGTACGTGCATGAATCTCATAAGGCTGAAACTATCTATCAATGACTTCCCAGTTGCTCGTCAAAAACAGATATTAGATCGTCGGATGCAAGCGACGCAAATTGTGATTAAACATAAAAAATTTAAAGTGCCGGAGTGGAGATTTGAAGTATTGATAGAACTATAGAGAAAATGAAGCGTACAAAATTAGTTACCTGGTCGAATAATATACAAAAGATGCACGAAGGGGCGGAAAAAAGACGGAGGGAACAATTGGAAATAACGAGTGGAGAAAAGCTACCAGAAGACGGAAAATTAATGTGAAATGTGAGATATTTATCGAATGAACTAGGAAACAACAAATGAAATAAGTATCGCGTAAATGAACGCGCTTCGAATGAAACAATCACTGATACCGGACTGCACTGGCAAACTTAAATAATAAATTACATTAACAGAAAAAATAAATAAATAAGGTGAACGTACGAGAGAACGATTGAATGAATGAATGAAGGGACGAGGGGCAAATATGAATAGGTATCAAAGAGTGATTTTTCATATGCTGTATATAAATAAATCAACTGAATTTTGTTTTATATGAATTTAGATTTTTGACACCCTAATAGCACCCCGCTTATTTACTTTTATTTTTTCTGATAAATATGCTTTGAAACCCCCACAAAAAAAAGAATCAAAGATTATTCCAAAGAAACTTGAACCAGCATTTAAAATCGACAACTCATGCTTTAGGAGGCCAATTTCACAGCCATCTCGCACTTATGCCTATCTCTTGCAAAGCTAATTTGAAACAATATTTTATATTCAATTCCTTGTTTAATTTTAGCCATGCCTTTTGTCACTGAACTGACGCGAACGAGAATCAAAGCTTGATAAAAATCCTTTCTACTGTGTAATATTTTTAAATATTTCAATGTTTATTCGAGATTCATGTGGATCGAGAAGGATGTGATAGTCTTCGGTTTATTGAGTTGATAACATCTTCCGGACAATCTACTGGGAAATTAGGTAATTAACTTCCGTTCGAAGAACGGGAATACAACTTTGCGAAACTTCTTGTAGAAAACTTTCTTTCTTACAATCTTTTTTTTTAGTAGTTGACCCTGTTAAGAGAACTTTCAAAATTAAAAATCGTCACGCTGTTATTTAGTGCCACCTGCAACGTTCCATGGTTCTTTCTGAAACATTTGGTCTCACTCCCAGCGTCAGTCAATAGCATGCTGCACCGAAAACATTTCAGGGTCAGAAAATGCCCACAAATCTTTCGCTCTTTTGTAGAAATCCCTAGCGAAAGTTCTGTATCCTTGATTTCGCAATGAGGAAATTTATGGTTCACAATTTGACGAAGCCGTAGTCAACGAAAGTCTTAGATATTACTTGAACAGTTTTCCGGAACTAACTGAGACCAAAAGACATTAAATACAAAAAGGCATTTAAAACAATTTTTAATGCAATCGCAAGTGTGAGGGCCATATAGATTTTGAAAGAGACCTGCAGGTGTATAATCACCTCGTGAAGCGCGAATTCCAAGTTTGCTTTGTGCCTTCCGATCTTAAAAGTCACTGTCAAAGAACAGGGTGAGAAAGTTCTAACATGCAGGAGCCCAAAAACTGCCGGTCCAACGAAATGAGTTTCGCAACCATTCAAAGGTTTGGACCGAGGTATTTTTATAGCTTTGTGTGTAAACAACAACAAAATATGTGATGCTGTATGCTGTGAAGAAGGTAGGTGGCTCAAGGGTCCGGCGACGAACACAAAGGTTTGTATTAACTGCTACGCAATCCAGTAAGTTATCGAGAATGACAAAAAATTCCAACACCATAGCATTGATAGAGATCAGGGCCCAGTTTTTCGAAAGCCGATTAGCGCTAACCCAGGGTTAAATTTTAATCTGGGTTTCTATACTTCTTTGTTCGATAGCCTTTTTGGGATCATTTTCCTCTACTCTATATGGAGCATCTAATCATCAAATTGTTGACAAAAAAGAATCATTTTTCCTTTAAAGCTTCCAGAGCTGAAATCCGATTTCATACTAGAATTTGAACAACCCAGCCCAGGGCAATACTATATGATAAAAATGAGTTTTCAACAATAATATTTCATTAACATAGACTGTATGTCTAACATGCGGCCTCACGATACGGAAACGTTTTCTTTAATTTACGTCATATGTTTATTTTTAAATTCTTAAACAGTTCAGTAAATGAGTTGCCTGCATAAAAAAAACATAGCCATTATTCATCAGCTTATTCCAAAGAACGTAATGTTGACACTTTCTGAGTTAACTTTGAAGAGGACCCATGAAAGCGTGAATAAAACCAGAACGAGTTTCATAAAAACAAGCTCGAGAGATCTCGTCAAAAAAAGACAATTCCGTAGGTATCCTTGACATCTATGAGTGGCTTGCGCATTTAACTCCACAAAAATAGTAACCAGTTAACATCGAGAAAAGTGTGTGTCACAACAAAACAGAAACCTTCCCCATCTTTCAGTTTTAATTTCCTATTTTTATCTCTGCGGTTTTTAAGCTGAGAAAGATCACCCAACCCTTTCCTCTTCCTTGTAGATTATGCCGAGCGTTTAAAACAAGACTATTGTTAAAAGGTTGATGAGTTTGTGTTTATTTATTGCCATCTGTGGTTTGAGAAATAAAAATGGCGTTGTACATGTTTGGTTAACGTTATGCATCATAATACATATAAAACATGTAACATCCAATGGTCTCAACCGCATTTCACCTGTCAAGTTTGGCAGGCTTCCGGGAAAATTTTCCATTTTAAATTGAAGCGCTGAAGCAAGAAAAAAAATGTTTTTACCTTTTTTCTTATTGGTGTGGAAGGTCACTCCTTTAGCACTGTGCAATATCAGTCTCAGGCGTTATTTTCCAAAGTTCCGTAATACTTTCGATACCTAATTTCGTGACATGACAAGCTGAATGGAATATAAAAGACCTAAGCGCGTGCATTACTGACAAAACCTGATTTTGCATGAGCGGTTTCACCATGGCAGTTAGTACCGTGATAGAGTTGCTCGGGCAAATGGCATTTTCTTTCACAAGGAGCGTCATGGAACATTACAACCCTGAAGAACCCGAATTCACTGCTGAATCGTTTGGATTTGATTATTTAGAAGACTCACGTCGACAGTGGTATTCTTATCCAGTCGATGAATTTATTTATCAGGAATACGACGACAGAAAAGGCATAAACACAAGCTATCTGGCAGCTAGGAGTATCAATGTAACGGTTGTTAACGCTTTTTGTACCAAGGAAGAGGAAACACCCAAATCGATTGGCAATCAGCAAGAAGACAGGGCTATGGCGTGGAAGCGATTAAGACCATCTTTCCTTCACACCATATCCAAGTCGCTGTACATTGGAGCTCTCATTTCGCTCCTCGTTGCCACCATCTTAGGTGCAGAATATCTGCTCCTTTCATATGTTTCTTATAAAACATTCGCACATTGTAAATACTTCCCAAAGAAATTAATTCCACACAGTGTACAATGGACCATAACAGAATGTGACGTCATCGCCTGTGGCATCTTTTATGTCTGTAGCTTTTGTCATACGATATTACTTTTCCTGCAACACCAGATACAAGGATTGAAAACCAACTTGGTCCTGATATGTTGTCTTTTTTACTGTTTTGACGCACTTTATCGCGTTATTTTACAATTCATAGGAAGACCTTTCTTCTTGGAGTCCTCTGTATATAAAGTTCCCATGTACGTGTTGTATGCAGCCTGTTATTGTCTCCAGTTGTGTTATCTTGCGAGGAAATTTGGCATGCGTTCAAGACCAAGAGAAGCCAGTTTGATATGTAAGCTGGTCACACCATTAATTTTCGCGTTTACTGTCGCCTCCGCTGCTGTATATTTTATTTACCCCGCTTATAAATGGCAACATAAAAGTGGTCATGGTAGGTTATTAATCGCCATATTCTCCCCTCTCATTGGTGTGACTGCTAAAGTCATTTCACGTATATGTGTTCAGCGGTTATGGAACATTACACATCCGGGATATTCATATATCTTGCTTGCGCCGTTGTACTTTAGTACAGCGGTTATTTTTCGAGTCTTACAAGCGGAACTGGGCAGTTTGCTGTATATTGCTGCTCTGGGAATTATCCATGGCATAACAGAAGTCGTGGAACGAAGTGCAATGGTAGCAGTTGATCATTGTTGTCACCAATTGTGGAGAAGAGAGTTAGCTTCTTGGGGAAGTTTTCGTACTCCTCGTCGCGAAAGACTAATGGCCGACATCGCCATCATGAGCATGATGTTTGAATCAACTGCTATAGTTTCTGTCAACGGCTTTTTATTCTTTTATCAATATTTTTACCTAGAAAACGATTCCCTTTTAACCTTGCTCCGATCTTTTTCCATTACTGTGTTAGTTCAGATGGTGATTGAATGGTTCTTCACGAGTGCATCTCTGGCGATCGAAACTCGTTATCAGAATTTGCCAGTGATGGCTGTATGGCAAAGGCGGTGGAAGCGATTCGTTTTGGTAGCATCTGTGACTACGATACCAATAGCTATGTGGACGAGCGGAAACTTATTGATGATTATAGATGAGAATTTTGAAGCCCCTTCAATCGCGAATCGGTCTTGCAAAATGCCTTTCACTTGACAAAACAGCAACCATAATTAGACTTATTAGTTTTCTACATTCACAAAGCCTAATGAACACCTTGACGGGCTAAGGCGGTGTCATTAAGGGCCAATTATCATTTTACTGCAGGCTTTTTCAGTTGTTGGAGGGAATGTTAGGCTGGCAAATGGCCTATGTAATTCCTGCTGTTATTCAAAATTTTCAGTCCCCTCAAGTAAGTTTGAATTTATGCAATCAACTATTTCTCTTTGAAAAAATCCCAAGCTTATTTTTTAAGAAATTTCTCTTTTGAAATTAACAAACTAGAGCTGTTGTTATTTTAAACGGGAAAAGAAGTTTTAAGAGAATTCTCGCCCTGAAAGCGCGTCATGCAATTTTCTCATCACTCCCGGTCTTACTCTGTAAACAGATTGCATTTGTTTGTAGAATAAAAGGAAAAGTGACAAAGTCCTGTCACGTAACTGTCACATCATGCAAAAGATTACGAAAGCATTTCGAATTGGGGAAAAAAAACTATTCTTTGCGCATACAGATCGGTCTAAACCGTGACCAAATGATTTAGAAAGATTACAGCCCGAGAGCATGCAATGGAAACTGAACGACGGACTGTGCTAAACGGGTAAATGAACTGACTTTGTGACAAACGACGGAATCATTTTTAAACGTAACCTAGCTGTTCACAAAAAGAAACATTGCTTCAAAACAAATCCCGCTAAAGCAAATTGTGTTTTCAAAGAAAAACTCATCTCGCGCGACGAAGAATCTGGTTTGTTTATCAACGGAGAAAGAATACAACTTTTACCACTTTTTGCTGAGGCCACGAGCAATCGTATTAGTGAAAAATGGAATGAGTTAACTGACGAAAGAGTGATTGTGTTAAAATTTTACCGGGAAGAAGGAGAAAGTGGAACATTAAATGAAGAGAGGGAGGCCAATTGGTGGACGAAAAGTGCGGTGAGGAGATTAAAGAGCTCCGTCACAACCCCCGACAGGCCGACAAATCAAGTGCCGTCTGAAGACAGTGCCCGAATGAAGGGAAAAGAAACCGAACAGAAGATACCGAACCAGTCAGTATTCCGCAACACACTCAACGTCTCTAATATTGATACTAGTCTCACTTAGCAGGCTAGAGTTATTCTTGCTTACTATCTTGCTAGATATTCGAAGCGCATAATAATATGCTTAATTTTGGTCATTAATGTTTTGAAATGAACTAATTAAGCTTGAGAGCCACCTCATTTGTCGGTGAACAGAAGGTTGATTACTTCCTACCCGCCTGTATCTGCCTTGCAAACTCTTCAGTTTATATTGGCCAATTACAAGAGCTTCGAAAGGAGCGTCTTGAGTTCAAAGCAAGGGAGGGTAATACATAATTTGTGCATTTTTCAATTTTCTTTTATCGCAATTGAATTTTTCTAGGTAATAAAGAATGAGAGGAAAATATTTCACATTTAGAACTAAATGGGCTGTTGGAATCTGGCCAAGATTACTTTTATTCCATTCAAACAACAACATTATTATCTTAATGTGTTATTCGAGGTTTTCTGAAGAAACATTTGAAAATATATTGACCGTCGATATTAAAAAACCAGCCGTGTTAGCTAAAATAAGAGCAATTTTAAATCTTTCATAGAATTTCACACACATAACTTGGCTAAGAAATATATTTATCATTTCGAGTCAGTTAATTAAGAATTTTTATCTGCTTTACACGGAAAATTAAGATTAATTTTCCGTGTAAAGCAGGTAAACCAGTACTGGGCGAATAACGATGCCGAGGCGTTGTAGCGCAAAGGACAATATTGGGATCAATATCAGTATCTGGGCAACTGCCCACCTACTCCTCCCCTAACTCAACAACCGTCAATTGACAACAAGTTAAGTTTAATTTTGGTTTAGGGGAGGGGTAGGTGGGCAGTTGCCCAGATACTGATATTGATCCCAATATTGACCTTATAATCTACTTTCCCGCCCACACTCTCTGTTTTTTTTTAGTTCCTGCCTCACCTTTACCAAATTGTCATAAGCACTTGGTTATAACGAACAACATTAACTGTTGTGTTAAGTTCGTGTTTCCTTCGCTCAGTGTCGTGTAACGTTTTCAGATGCTATGAATGTCACTGTTAATCATCCAGCGTTTAATGTCTCGCATGAAGAATGTTCTCTCTCAGTTGCTCACGGTATCACCCTGATATCAATCAATTCTATCTTGTGTGTTTTGGGAACATTTGGTAACATACTGGTTTGCGTGGCAGTTTCCATAAATCTTCGTCTTCGCCGACCGTCAAACTTCCTTCTTTTCAGCTTAGCCATCGCCGATTTGATCGTCACCATGGTTTGTGAGCCTCTTGTTGTAGCCATCCTCGCTAAGATCACGTTCGTCAAGGACTGTGCAGCCAACTTGGAACTACTGTACAAGATAACATCCAGAGTGTCCTGCTCTGCTTCAGTGGTGCACCTGGCAGCGATCAGTGTGGATCGTCTGTTAGCTGTGATGTATCCTCTCGGTCATGAGATCATGATGCAGAAGTACGGGCTGAAGATTATGATCATCGCTTGTTGGACCTTCTCCTTAGCGGTTCCTGTTATTAGCGCCGTTGTTCCAGATTCCTTCCCAAAAGCTTTTCTTGGAGCAGGGACCTTCGCCGTGAGTTACATCATCATTATAGTGTCCTATTCGCTGATCATGATATTTTTGATCAGATTAAAGAAGAAAAGACGCCAGAATAAAGGTCAGACACCGTCCGTACACGTCACTTCTCGAGTTGAGGCGCGTGTGGCCTGCACGCTGGCGATAGTAATCGCTGTTTTCACTGTTTGCTGGTTTCCACTGGTTATCACCTTGTTCGTGGCAGGTAAGCCGCTTGTCCAGCCTCAGGGAGTGGCTCACATGTGGATCAGGACTCTTGCTCTGTCAAATTCTGCCATGAACTTTACAATCTACACTTTCAGAATCCGAGACTTCTACGAGGCGTATGGCTCGATCTGTCGGAGAATCTGCAGTTTTTTTCTCTGCAGGACTCAAGCATCGCTAAATTTGCCTCAGTGATTGTTTTTATTAGTGAGCTGTTGGTCAAATTCAGTCAACATAATATCAAATTGAGATGCACGGTGCTATTTCGCTAAAGCATACTATAACAGCTTGAAATATTTGCCAAGGACTCTCTTAGTTTTCAGGAAATGACGTCGCAATCAAAAAGGCGGAAAGTGGGCACCTCAACACCTAGTGCCTAATTGTGGAGATAACCAAAATTGGCTATTTCCTCAATTCAATATATGAACTGAAGGATCTCAAAGGCTTACAAGGGTTACTCGAGAAATAGATGAATGAATTGATTAATCACTTGATTCACTGGTGCTAAACAAATTGTAAGACCTAGATCCTATCATCTGTTGTCATTATGGGTAAAGATGAAGCCATGGCTTTGATTAAACTATTCTGAATTAAGCTATTCTAGGTCAAATTGATTCTGTCGCTTTCATTGAGACAGTTGATTGGCATGGATCTATGTGCTAGACCAAGATAAATGTTGAGTAATAAGAGAAAATGATTAACTTGTGAGGGTAAAGGAACACAACAGATGATAAAGAAAATATTTTAGATGAACATATGGATCGCTTGCATCTACTTTTACTTGTATTACATTTCCTTTTAAAGCGCTATATCAAAATATGAAAAACATGAGAGATGGAGGAGGCTGATTATATAACTAGTAATTTATCAGGAGAGGCTCTCCGCTGTCATGGTCGAGAAGTAAAAGAGAGGCTCTCCGCTGACAGGATCAAGATGTGAAAGGGCTCTCCGTTGGTTGACGGAGATATCAGACCTGGGATGACGTCAGTGAATTGTATTACGAACAGTAAGAATTAAACTTTTCTTTCATGTTTGTATCCTCAACATTCACTCCTACGCTGTACAAAAGCTAAATTTGTGAATTAATTCACCAATTTTATCATAATTTCCTTTCACTTGACAATGGAAGGTGCTCAAAGAGAATTTCGCGGATTCGCGGTTTTCTTGCGTCCGCATTGTCGTAACTCTCGCGATTCAGCGAACTGCTAGAAAGCACTGAACGGCTGAATTATAATATCTTGGTGACATGTGTGTAGTTTGCATTCAGTGTTCTGTTTTCTTCACGAACCCCGTTTACTCTACTTTCAGTTCGAATGAATCGCAAAGATCAGATATTGCACTAAGTCGACCTCAAATGAAACCTTATTTGAAGCATGCATAAATAAACAGAATTTACAATTCTCATGTTCAAGCACATGCACTATTTTCGATGTTCATTTCTGTCGTTGATCTGATTACCGCACACATTCTCCAATCTTTCCGCCAAAAAGCACTCATTTCGATAAACATGCGCCGGCTCGACAAATTGAGGACTAAATAAAAACACGAAATACACCAAGTGAAGGACCTAAAGAGTTAGTAGTTCGCTATGATAATACATGCGATACTAGCAAAATCACCAAATGTCCCGAGGCGCTGTGTTATTGTCATTTAGTAGTTCTCTGTTTTTGTTCCTTGGGTATCGGCAACCTGTACGAACACCCAAGCGATGGTATATCGACAGGTTTAAGTAATTTCTTTCCTCCCTTCGGCAAACTGTCCAAATCCACGCTGAATTTTTCCGCGGCTTTGAAATTAAAACCAGTCTGGAATTTTGGAGTGTCATGTCTATCAATATTATCCTTTCGTTTTATCCAGTTGTGACTCTGTCTCCAATATTTTGAGCTCTCTATCTGCGGTAGTCGGCCTTGTTTGAGGCCGTGAAAGCGGTTGTGATATTGAGCTATTTCGTAGCGTTGGTTTATCCCAAGGTTATTGCTCAATTGGCGAATTCGTTTAAGTTCGTCGTCCAACAAAATAACAATATCTGTATTGCTGTGATCTGACAGCGAACCTTGTAGGAAAGGAGAATGTAAGCCGCGTTCGGACGAAACCACACTACTTTTGTCGTTTGGCAATGGCGGTAGTCTGTTCTTGAACGACAGAAGAGGTTTGCTAAATTTCTTAGAATTATGGCCTTTGTTGTCGAAGCCGTTGTAACCATTTTTGATGACAATATCCGCCATTGTGTTTTGCTTCTTTAGAAATCCCTATAATACAAAAGGAACAATTGTATTTGCTCCATTTGAATTCACGCGACCGCAAGACCTTAGCAACCTCAAACTTTCGTTGAGCTTGAAGTTTACTATTCAATGTGTATCAAACCTGAGAAGGCAACCTCAAAATAAACTCCGTACTAATCCGATAAAATTCTTTGAAGGACAAATGGTTGCCTAGCTGCCGCGTTAACAGAAGGTCGAAATAATTATTAACTGCTAGCTTCGTTTGCATAAGACAAAATCACTTTGTAAACATAATTAACCCGTGAGATTTCACTGGCCGACACGACGTGCTTTTAAAACGGAGGAGAAACCACGTTGCTTGTCCATTTACTTCCCTCTTTCATTGGAAATCTGAAAACAAATAGAATGATTATTACTTGTGTCGCCGTACGACAACTCCATGCCCGTACGGTAACGCAACTCTGACCTCTCTCTAATGGAAAACAAAAGAGAGTACGGTTAAGTTATCTTGTATTTTTAAACAACCAAACACCAAATCTAGTTAAAAGAATAGTCAAAGAACGAGTGGTTATTTTTCAAGTATGAATGTACTTGTCCAACTCTTCTGAAAAGGAAGCCGTCAAATCGAGTTAGGGGGTGGGGGGGAGGGTCTATACTTGAGTTGGGGAGTGGGGGGAGGGTCTATACTTGAGTTGGGGGATGGGGGAGGGTCTATGCTTGAGTTGGGGGTGGGGGAGGGTCTATACTTGAGTTGGGGAGTGGGGGAGGGTCTATACTTGAGTTGGGGGTGGGGGAGGGTCCATACTTGAGTTGGGGGGAGGGGGGAGGGTCTGTTGGAGTGTATTCAGTGTATTCAGTGATGTATTCTATTGAGACAAAATTCCTACACTTCTTTCCGACACGTTTGATCCGATTTCGAAAGAATTTAGAAACAACTTTTCTTTGATTTCAATAAGACGTTTCACATCCCTAAAGCATTTTCTAATGACCACGCACCCTTTCGGCCGCTGTCCGCCATAGCATCTCCTTTCATCAAAGTGCCCCTTCCGTCAACCTTCTCTATGGCTTCAGTGGTAAAATTCCTAACACTAACATGGCTAACATGGCCGATCCTTTCGGGCCGGGGATCTCGACTGGGAAGACCCCAGTGATAAATCTGTTTCCTCCCACCCAAGCTTCGGTCAACTAAAGTACACTGGAATAGTCCTTGAAGATATTTGCTGCTTCGAAAATCAGCTGATACTGTGAGGAGATCGGTTTAATCTAAATGCACGCTACAACAAACTCAGCTGGATCAACACAGGGTAACCTCTATCAATTCTGCAACAAAACTATCGTTGAAAGTTGCAAAGCAATCAGAGAGGACACGTTTCATTGAAAAAAAAACGCACCGTAGGTACGAACGCCACAAAATATGATTATGGACGGAAGTTTAAAGTGTATTATTACAAATTGTGCATTCTTCTGGTGTTATCCTAAGTACACGTATAATTTTCTCTTATAGATAGATCGAAACTCTCTCTTACGACGAATATGAAATCTTTTGTACCATAAGTGTTGACAAACTGAGAGGTTGAAGTCGAAAAGCATGACTGTGTACAGGGTCACGAATGATACCTTCATCATAATGACAACCCTATCAATAAAATATCTACAATCTAAAAAGAAGGATTGTAGATGAAGTCACAGAATGATCAAGAAATATTACTGTACATAGCGTGAACAGAAGCGATCTCAGGCGCATAAGCCAAAAAATCACAATTCTATTTTCTAAAACACGGTAATATCCTGCCTAACTATTTTAATCCGAATAAATTCAGTTGGAATGTTATTTAATTGAAAATGCGTCGGCAATCACGCAGTTTACAGATATTTGATTTCGACTCGTGCGAATTTAAATTATACACATTATTAAAATTATCTCTGAATTCATATACAAGACGAAATTATCACGATTTGCATTGATTTCAGCATTTCTTAAACAATTCATTCTTTTCTTTTTCTCTCAAACGGTTGCACGCAACGGTCCATTTAACACATTTTAGTAAGATGCACACACCTTTGATATTAATTGACAGATTTCTTATCTCTTCTATACCTCCTAAGCGGGGAGTGAATTTCGGGAGATAATTCTAACGCCACACCTTCGTAATCGTTTCTAGAGTTGCTCATAATAACACCCGAAGATGAGGCACGAGCAGAGGATGGCAGTCCATGAGATTTGCTTCGTTCCCTAGAGTTCGTATGTGAGGCCGACCTCGTTCCTCTCCTCGATGATCGGGGATACTTCGCCTCTTCCGATGATCGATCGATTTGTTGACGGGGAAACGTATCCACGGTTGATCCCTCTGTGTCAGTGGATGGTAGAGGTGGTTCGTTTCGTCGGATAGCTTCGGTGTAACGGTCGATTTTACGAAGAGATTTTCCCAGCATACTGCGAAGGTTGTTCGCGTCCTCTTCGACTGCTTGGAGTGATTTGCCTAAAGACTGCCGAACCTCTCGTATTTCATCGCTTTTTATTGCAGCTTTGTTACTTTGCACCATTTTCTGCTCTCGTTCATTGTGGAGTTCAGTTTGGAGGAAAGTAACCTAGAACATAAATTAAAAAGCCTGATTGATTTCACTGTTTTATAGCGAAAAACACTGCTGAGATCTAGAGGCAAATAAGGGATATCAAACAAATTAATTAAAAGACTATACATACGGTTAGGTTGAAACTTTCCAAATAATTACCTGCTTCTCCAAAGCCTCCAGCTTTGCCTTGTACGATCTTTCTCGCTTCTCGGAAGTCTTCTGTGTTTTTTCCAGTGTTAAATGTGATCTTTTCGCCTCTTTCTCCAATTCTTGTTGCTGTTTCTCTGTTATTTCTAGTAAGCTATAGACAGAAAAGAAAAACGGACGGAAGAAGTGTTTAAAGAATGACTACCAATTGTAATTAATTGTCATTGGAACAGATGACTGACCGACTGACTGGCTATCCAACAGACTGACAATTGTGCTCGTATGACTGGCGGACTGACTGACTGACAAATGCATTGAGTCCCTGTATGACTGGCCGCCTGACTGATGAACTGACAATTGTAATAAGTCACTGTGTAACTGGCTTGCTAGCAGACTGAAAATTGTGCTGAATTGCTGTTTGACGGCTGTCGATAACTGACTACTGAAATGCATCAGGCTGACTACCTTACTGAGAGACTCTCCACCTCTTAGTTTACTCACTGAAGGACAGACTAACTTGTTAAAGAAGACCTATTACCTTTCCGTGTGTTTGACTTGGACCAGTTGAAGCTCCTTTTCTAATGACTCTACTCTTTCTTTTAACTCTAGGTTTTCCTTTGCCGCCTCACTCAGCGTTCTGTTGAGAGCTTCTTTCTCTTGATTCGACTCAAAGAAGGATTCTTCAAACTCCAATCTTTCTCTCTGGAGCCTATCAAGCGTCTTTTTAAGAGCATGGACGTCTTTGCCAATTCGCAAGTTGCTTTTTTCCAGATCTTTCTTCTCAGCCTCGAAGGAAGAATTTGTTTTATGTAGAGAAGAGTTCTCGCTTTTGAGAGCATGAGTTTCACTCTCCAGGTCTTGCAGTTTAACGAGAAGTTCATCTTCATGCTGTTGACGCTGCATCAGGAGACCTTTTACGTGTTTTACTTGATTTTCGAAGTCATTTATCCGCAGTTCAGCCTCCTCTCTGGTTTTCTCCAAGAAACTGACTTTTTCAGCCAACACACGGTTTTCATTCTTGCAATCTTTCACCGTTTCGCGAAGTGCTACCACTCTCTCGTGTTGCAAACGCTTGTCGCCTTCTGAGCTTTCAAGAGACCGCTGAAGTTGAGCAATGTGGTCTTGTAAGTTTTGTGAGCTGCAATTGCTTTCACTCAGAGAAACCGACAAAGCCTGTACCTTTTCTTTTAGCCGCGTCTCCTCTTCTTCCCCTTTGGACACAGCACTGTTTAGTTTCTGAATTGCAAGGTTTAAACTGGACACATTGCTTTCCAATTCTTGATTTGCTTTTAAAGCAGCACTCAACCTTTCACGTAGTTCTCTATTTTCAGCCTCCGCATCTTGTTGAACACGCTTCTGCCTTTGCAATTCGCCATCCAAGGCTTTCAGCTTTAACTCGTTCTTCGTTAGTTCTCCGGATGAAGATTCCATTTGGGCCCTCAATGTGTGCTTTTCGTTTTTCAGTCTTTTCTCTGTTTCCTGAAGCTCTCTTATCTTCTCTTGTTGTTGCTTCCTCTCGCTTTCCGACAGGCCCAATGTACCTTCCAACATTTGCAATTTTTCATTCATGCCATTTCGTTCTCGCTCAACCTTTTGAATTGCCTCCTCCTGAAAACAGAAAAGCAGCAGTCTCTAAACTTTTTGTCTTAACTAACCGCAGTTTCATTGTTCTTCAAGGAGGTGCTAAATTGTCAACGAAGGTAAAATTTAAGTCTCTAAAAGGTAGTTTACCACCTCAGTTTCCAAGGCGTTCAGATCTAGAGCATGCTACTATAGAAAGTTATCCCCCTGCAGGCCCCTCCCCCCACCCACACCCACACGCACACTGGTGAATTATTGGTGCCCATTTACACGCCCAGGGGGAGAGAAGCACCGTGGTGATAAAGCGTCTCCCCTAAGAAAACAGTACAATAAACCAGCCCTGAGGTACTAAACGTGAACCGTGCGGCCAACTAATCCTTTACCAATTTGTAGAAACGTTCTTTTTCCTAATGCGTAATGTGTACATGTGTTAATGACTTATTCAAACTTTTCTTACACCTGACACCGAAAAAAGTATTCACCTCACCTGCAACGTAAGTGCAGTCTCTGAGCTGTTCAATCTTTCTTCCAGTAGTCTTTTCTGTTCTCTTAATTCGTTCATTTCCTGATGAACAGCTCGCAGTTTTCCGTCCAGAGCCGCTCTTTCTTCCTCCAACTTAGCCACAGAATTCTGCAAACTGTCCACTTTCACTGAACTCTCCTCTTTCTTTCTCTCGGCGTCTTTCAGGTTCTGTAGCAGCTCACTTAAGGACGATTTCACAGCGTCCGGATCAATGTCATCCGATGAGTCATCTATCAAAGGGAACAAAACAGTGTCAGTGTTATGGAGCAGAATCTTAGATTTGTGCTTTCAGTGTCACGAATGAGGCATTTATTGAGCTGAGTTAGGTAGCTCAGATGCTTAGGCTTCAGCTGAATTCTTCGATGTCTTGGTAATGTTCTGTCTCAACAATAAAACTGACGGGTTCAACAGCTCTTGTCATCAGTCACTTCATTGCAATGTATGTGTGTGTGAAACCCCCACAGCTTCTTCGACTCAGGCGAGGCGATATGACATATATATATATGCCTAAAGGTCCCCGATCCTCTTTGAAATATCTTAACCTAAACAAGAAGAAAACCACCTGTTTGAGCTTCAAACTAGACATACCTGAGCCCGATCTTGGTCGCCCTCGGTATGGTCTTTGGTTCTTCTTCGGACTACCCTCGGTTGGCGAGGTAGGTCGGGACTGGGATCGTAAGCCAAGTGATCTTCGAAGAATTGAGTAAAGACTTGAAAGCTTAAATTCCAATTCATTTTTGGAAGCTTCAACTCGAGATAGTTGAGATTCCAGAGCGCTAATTCTTCCATCATTTCCAGACAGCTGAGCTTTGTAATTTTCCCGGTCAAATGTCGTTTGTTCGAGAAGATTCTCCATTTCTCTCATTTTACTTCTGGCCTTCTGCTCAAACTGTTTGAACTCCTCTATCTGAGCTTGGTAATCTTTCTCTCGACTCGCAAAGGTGTCCTCTGCTTCTTTGATCCTTTAATACCAGGCAAAATTTATCAGTTAAGCAAGGGACTCTGAGATACTTCGAAGTTTGAGAGCGTGACGGCTACATCGTAAAAGCTGAGGTACACTCTATAAAGTGGTACAGGTTTCAGTTCCGGTCAAAATTTACTGTGAGGTGTAAATATGATAGAAGGGAGCTTAAATGGGATTAGGTACACTGATGGTTTGTAGTCTGAGAAGGATTTGCAACTAGACTAAAGTGACTGAGGAAGCCTTGAAAGTCTTAAAGTATAGTATGGTTTGATTTATAGGTTGACAGAACTTTTGGCTGTGCATGCAAAAGCTAAAAACCTAAAGTAAGTATGTACAAGTTTCTTTCCTTACCTTCTTTGTAGTTTCGCCCCATTCTGTTTTGCCTCCTCCTTCTCGCTCTCCACTTGCAGTATACTTTGTTTTAAGTTATACGCCTCATGTCGTAACTCTTCGCGTAAAGATTCCTCATGTGCCAGCCTCTCTTGAAGATCTGAAGCTTCTCTCTTCCCCATCAGACACTCGCTGCTGAGAATCTTTACTTGACGCAATGCCTCTTGCAGTTCTCGCCTAGTCTCGGCGCGCTCCGCCTCGAACTCGTTCACTCGGCTACGAAGATCGTTCGCCTCCCCGGTGAGGCTCGTACGACTATCGTCGCACACTCTAAATTTGTTCTCGAGTTCGTCCAGAGCACGTTTAGTCTCAGCCCGCTCGCTTTCAGTTTGTTTTACTTTCTCTCGTAGCTCTTCACAGGTCTTTTGAAATGCATTCTTTTCAATTTCTTCGTCTTTGATTTGTCTTCTGAGCGCCAAGTTTTCCTTTCTTTGAGACTCTTTTGCTTCCTCGCACTCCCGCATTTTCCTGTGCGCATCCATGAGGTCCCTCCGCACGCTGTCACGAGTCTCTTCTGCCATGTTGAGCTGCATCTTTAGCGCTTTGATTTCTCGTTCTGCATTGTCTCGGTTTTTTATTGCTTCCATCAATTGCTCCTTCGCACTATTTCCGTTCTGGTAATGCGTTGGGGAACTGAAATTACAGTTGAAGTTACCATTAAGTCAGTCCAACTGACAGGTCTTTAAGATCTACCTTCTATGTGAATAATAATGAAAGCAGAAACTATTCTGCTCATAAACATCGTGCTGTGCGGCAAAACCATAACGTAAAAAGAAAATCCACAACTGCCTTAATAATTGCATACGTCACGTAACATGCACAAACTGTACACACCTCATGATGTCCTCGCTGAACCCTATTGAATATTCCTAAAACAAGAGAGAAGAAGTGAGTGTCGGTTTACGCAATATTTCCCGTTAAAAGGGCATAGAAACCTCAATATCAATTAATGAAGAGTACATTTTGTAATCTTCCAACAACAAATAATAGCAAATCTTTTATTGCTCACAAAAAGAGGTATCACTGTGAAATAAAAACAATGTTAGTTATAATTAACAGGAATTTTTAAAAACATAGTTTGAACATTATTGGAGGAACCGTGAGGTTTCTGAGCTCGCCCTTAGGTTCCACTAATTTCAAGTCATTTTTTTCACTAAAAAGAGCAGCAGGAGATTAGCTCGATATCACTATTGTAGTTATGTCTGCCTGCGAGGTAACGTTCTCCACGCGAGATGCCACGCGCGAGAACTTAAGCACTTTATGTGAGCGAATATCAACGGATATCTGAAAGTAAGCAGCATGTTTTTTCTCCATGACATAGCTACCAAACAACAAAAATTTTTTTCAAAAATCTACAGTCAAGCGTGAGAGACGTCAAAACGACATTTACTCAAGTTAATTGCTTTGTCACACAACTTTCGGAAATTTCAGTGAACAAGATTTCTCCTGATATTGTCCCTTATGTGAAAAGTATCAAGCAAAGGCAATAGCTAAGTTTTAAGCATAAAAGAAGTTCTTTTTGAGTTTTCCGTGATAACGCCCGCTTGCATAGACTAGATTGTAGAACAAGCTTTAGCTAAGCTTCTGGGATCTTAATTGCTCATTACCCATTTCTGCACAGTAGTAGTCAGATAACCGACAAGTTCGAAAAGAAGACCTTTGAGAATCTTCGTAGAGGCTAAAGGAATTGCCTTTCTCCACCGCCATCATTAACCACTGATCGATTTAAAGTGTTGCCAGGCAAAGTGAAAACAGATCTCAAAAACGTTGGACACCAGAGCGGTTCGCTCAAAAGTTTCAAATCTAGACATGCATTAACAAAAAATAATAAAAGTGCTGAACAGGCGTCTAAAAACATGTCAAGTGTTTTCCCAGAGCTCACCTCTTCAAATTTTCACTCACCTTTAGAAGTATGCAAGTCTTGTTTTCTTTAAAAAGGGTTGAAAAAAATTATTACCTGAAGAACACTGAAATTTCAAGGTTCAATAATTCGTTTCATCAGGACAAGAAACCGTTATGCATATCTTCGCGCGATATGTAAATCATTGAACGCCGAGCTTTTATGTGTTGTTTTCCTTTGTTTTCGATGTCACAAGGGGTTACGCTTGAAAGAAAGTTATGAAATTTGAATTTGTTTGACGAAAGAAAAATAAAGATAGCGGCAAACTTGAAAGCTGTGGTACGGAAGATCGAACTAGGACGTACGCACTCGACAGGTTAAACTGAAATGAACTTAATCCCTTGCAATAAGTTAACTTTACTTTGTTGTCAAAATATAGATTATGGTGTTCATGCTGATCATGACTTGTTAGGAATCTCGATTTAGATTGAAAAGTAAACACTGATAACTTAAAATAAACTATGTACTGATTTTTGAGTAAATAGATAAAAAGGAAAGTCGATCGTATGCGAGGTAGCACTTCATTGTCAATGATATTAAGAGAGGTGTTCAAATAATATCATGAAAAATCTACTATTCAAGTAGTTGTTATAGCGATACTCTATTCGTAGACCAAGCTATTATAGTTACTAAAAATACGTTCATTTTCTTTAGCGTGTGAAACGTGATAAAGAGCTGGGTTGCAGGTCAATTCCGCTGAATTAGAAACGCACAAGCCTTTGTTCACTATCAGACGGCTGAACAAAGTTAACAATTGATCAAAATATATTTTTTCGATGAATGATGACCTAAAGTCACATTCCTTTGCGACGTGGGCCGAAGCACAGTGTGCTCCTTTCAAATCTTTATCTATAGCCTCTTTGGCGTAACGTTTTATTTTAGTTTGATGTGCATATTGCGCTTAAAACTGTCCAGCTTTGAGATGATATGTCCGTTATTAATGTAATCATACCTTACTTATTCCGTTCTCTTTGGGAATCTTGACGACCCCTTTATCTGGGCTAAAATCATCCTGATCAAACCCAGCAGAGTGGTAACCATTAAGGACCCGAGCTTCGGGTAAAATCTCGCGAGAGTAGCTATCATCGGACATCTTGCCTGCGTGAAAGACGAGGTCAGTTTGACACGTCAATAAAAAGAAAAGCAAACAGCTGTGACGTTGTATAATATTTCTAAATGTCAGTCAGGTTTTCAGTCATGCGCTCTATCTTGCGTAAGCCTTTTTTAAAAGGTCACTTTGAGTCAAATTTCAATCGTAAAATGTGTTAAATCATCTCACGGAGAGGCAAAATTCGTTTTTCTCCCTGACTTAGTGTACTCGCGCGCTATTCCGTTAAAATTCAAATAAGTTCATAGTTTATGCTCCAGTGACAAATTCAAATAAACTCAGTTCACAGACTACTGCCCACTGGACATCACACTTACTGAGGTTTCTTGAAACATCCAATCAGAGAGCTAAACTTCAAGGGCCATTGAATGTTAACGAAACAACAATTATAACAACTGCCAGAAATTAACCTAGTTACGTTTATTTGAACACAGAGCTAAAAACTAAATGTAAATTACTATGTAAATGGTTGGCACCAGATGTCTGCTCAGAAACTTCCCTTTACCGGTAAAAATATTATACACTGACAAAAATTGACTCTTCTTTTATTTTTTAACTTTCAGGCCGAACTTTTCGGCCGGATAAGTTTTAGGGTATTTCATTATGTCAAGATTTTAAGTCGATTCCCTTCGGTCAGCTTAAATCTATTTGCTGTGAGGCGAATTGAGGCGTTTGCAAAAGACTTGTATTCCCTGAGAAGGACCAAAAGGTATCAATGTGGTTAAGGAAATTAGTAAAAACTTAACAAGTCCTCGTGGGAATAATTATTTATTGACACCGATAAACTAAAACATCATATCGAAATAACTGCTTAAACTTTATATCGCCATTCAGATGATGACAACTGACAAAGTTCTTCCTTTAAATGTCACTGTAACAATTCTAAAATCAACGAGAAAGACGTTGCAAAGACATTTTCTTATTTGTTATCATCATTCGTGACAGTATTCATATTTTGAAATGTAATGAACTTTTATACTTACCGGTTGGACCGAAACCACAAGAGCGTTAAAGGTCGTGTTATAATTATCGTATTTAGGGATTTAGCGACCCAGAGATGAATCAAAACAGGCTTATCGTTCAGCGATATCCGGTAGAAAACATAAAAATATCGAGTGGTGACGCGAAAAAGGGTTCCTTCACGCAAGGGGTTTCAGCAAGCGAAAAAGTACAAGGTGCCACACCAATATTTGTTCACTAGAATACAACACAACGAGCCACGCGAGGAAGTTCAAAAGTAGTTTATTTGGTTATGCAAATTAGCACGATCCTATGACAACTATAGCTTTCTTTGTTTATGATTTACACGCCAGAAAATGGGCCAGAAGATTATTCAAATATGCTCAAGTCGTTAACGCCCAAAGTCAGAATGATGCAAAAAGTAGTACAATCTCTTAACACACCGTTGTTTGAGTGAAAGTACAGTTTTCACTCATCTTCTTTAGGAGTCTGAAACCCCAGCAGTGTTTAAACACCTGCTTTAGTAAATAAAAACACCATGAAAGTATTGCTGTTGACATTCTCGTCATCACAGTTAGAAATATAATAACTACTCTTAAATTATAGAGCGCTAACGTTCAACAGTTTCCACTTTCACTGTCTGCTCTTGATACATTTTCAAACTTTTCTGCCAATTGTGTACAGTTGTTGCTGTTTTGAGGGTGATAATCATGTCGATAAAGTTTACACCTGTGTTCGTGAATAGTAATCGGCTAACCTAACCACGCAAGAGCCGTTTATCAGTGGCTTAAGCAAAATGTATCCAAAAACTCCTTTCTTCGTTAATTCAGTACTTGTGAAGCTTATTTGCATGGGGTAAGAAAGATTTTGCTGATTTGAAGAGACCGTGGACTTACACTTCACCTGTAAGCCGGTAGCGGTTAGATTTCCATATTTAATGAATAATCGTCGTTGCTAAGAAAAGATTTTAGAGAGGCCAAGATGGAAATTAATCTGTTGCCATTTTGCAGCCACTTTATACATAATTATAACCTCTCTACGCACTCCACAAGACAGCGCTATGATCTCCCAAGATTACACAAACTCTAAGGTGAAGCTCTCGGGATCCCGGGTAGGGGAAAGTTCTCTTCTAGCTATAAATAAATTAATGACTTTTAGGGAGTCATTTCAGTATGTTCAGCCATAGCATTGAAGTAGAAATTACGAAGAGGTAAGTGAGGTAACTTAACAGAAAACCGTCAACAATGAAATTGCGAGTAAATTCTGATATTCAGTTAAATGACAAATTAATGATTAATAGCTCTTCAAGAAGGCTAATCATGCATAAACGAAAACAAAGAGACTGAAGGAAAGAGGGGAAGGAAGAAAGAAACAGAGAGAAAGACTGAATGAATGAGTGAAGGTAAGTCGAAAGGTACGAAAAAGCAAACGGGATTACATGCCTAAAGAAACATTTTACGATCAATTCCGAAATCAGGGCGAGGACAATTTTTTTCTTAAAGTTTTTCTTTGTCCTGAAACAACTTTAAAACAAGGAAAGTTACGCGTTTATCCGTGCATATGGCTTAACTTGAAAACATCTTTGACGCCCGAATACCGCCATAAGTTCTGAAAGGTCTCGCGATGCATATCCATGTTTTGAGGAGAACATTCACTTATTCCAGAGAAACTCAAGGAAATTAAAAATCAATCCATGGCCACTGGGTCTGTCTTTTTTCCAAGAATTATTTCTTACTCCTTCTATGACTTTTATCTATCTCTGTTCTCCAATAATACCGACAGGAAAAAGCGAATGAGATTGAATACAAGCCGGAAAGACCACATTTTTATTACCGGCTTCGGCAAATGTTTTACATATTTTGGTGAGAATTGAAGAGTGAGGTTATCGTGTCATCTCGGCAGTTTTTGTTTGTTATTTTTGCGTTTAAAGCCAGTTGACCTGCAGCAAACAAATCGAGAGATAAACTTGACATTGAGGTTTCTGCTTAACTGCATTTGCCCAGCAGTAGTGCAGTTTATACAAGAACGCTGTAATAACTCTACCAAATACAGAGCTGGTATGTTCGCCAACAGCTCTTTTTCAGAGCTTATTCACAGATGACGAGGGATAATTTTTTAAATGCCTTTCCTTCGTGTAAGAAAAATAGATAGAACGATGGCGCCACGATGGCTCACCAGCATTTCCACCTTTAATGTGGCATGCACTTCTCGTTGGCAGCCGGCGTTGATCACGACCTACTACAAAGTGACCCCTATTATATCGTGACGCAAATTCTATATCTAACATCCACGCCGCACAAAATTTCAAAGCTTTAAATGTTGCACATACATCCAACAGCGAGAAAATTGCACCCTCTACCGGCACTTAATTCCCCCAGTCCCTGTCCAACCTCTAATCGAACAAGGAAGCCCCTGTGTTTCTCTCGCGTGATCCTCTTTGGAGGATTTGAAATCAATAGGTCGTGTAATAGGAAAGATCTAATGTACATCTTCTTTAGACTACTGACATATCTGTTACTCTAGAACCTACCACTTCACTAGATTATCATGTGTGTTAATTAATCTCAGACTCCTAAGGAAGGGTTGAAAATCCATTTAATTTGGTAACTGGATTTGGCATCTTAGAAACATCTATATTTCAACAAATCATCTTGTTTACACGGGAACGCGGCTTGCATAAATTTATTTAGAGATGAACTCAAAGAAACTATAGTAGACATGAAATAACAGTTTTTCCTAGGACATCGTGCAACACAAGATTTATAGCACGATCTTTCAGTCAATAAGTGTTTTGTATTCTTCCCTTTCTACCCATAGTTCAAGAAGAAAGTCATTTATGTTGAATCAATTTAAACAACTCAAGAGTCTTTCAGTCTGGTATCCTGTTTTTTGTTACTTCAAAATACTATCATTGACAAGTTTACAAATGATGTTTAAGGTGTTTAGTAATCAGTTGAATTCCACGACTTGTGAAACTTAAACTGAATTTCTTAAGGGGGGCGTTACATAAATGACAATTCTTAACCTAAGTATTGTTTGTGTCCATCAGAGCTTTAAAACTAGATACAAAAGATGTCTGAAAGAAGATATTAAAATAGGGAACGTCACTTTTGTAATCGATTTTAGATCAGCTAATTTGAGCACGTAGGAGATTCAAAAACTGTTAGACAATTAACCTTCCTGGCTCTTATTACAAAGACAGAGTGACATGATAAACATTATACAGTAGTATCTATAAACCTACTAGAGCATAGGGCAAGTCATTTCAAGAATCTGCACGCATCTCGACCACAAACAAAGCGCTAATAGTAATCTTGCTCGCCGCTGAAAAAAAAAAAAGAATTGTAGAGAGCAAGAACGAACACTTCTTCATGATTCTTCGAGCGCTGATGATTGAAATCGAACACTGATATCCGGAAGTCAAGCTTGTCCTAGCGAAGGAGATTGTTTAAGATACAGTGGGAAAATCTCAGACCTTTCTTTGGTGAGTAGTTACGAAAATTCAAGAAATCTTTAAGACTTATGTACAGAAAGATATTGTTTTACTAATGAAAGTCGTGTAGAATTTACAATTCTCACCGTAGAGCCATCGGCGTTACAGTGAAGAGAGACGAACGTTCAATTAATTCAAACATACATTGGTTAAGTTCCCTTGGCATCCATTTCCAAAGCTCAATGATGCCACGCATTTGAAATAATCATGCCCTTTTCTTGCCCCTGTGGTTTTGTAACTCGTTACTATAGTTTAAGATAATAAAGCATCGGGGACACCAAATTTGACCCGAAAAAGGAAAGCCTCCTGAGATACAGTTGGTTGACGCACTCTTGCCACTTCAATTTGGAAGTATTCAAGGTAAATTCCACCTTTGTGAGTTTATCGGCGCCAAGTTTTCCTACTATGAGTTTTACATCACTGGCTAACTCATCGGCGTCATCAGTGTGTGTAATCATCATGTCATGGTAACGCCTTAAATGAAGTAATAAGTAATTTACACAATTGGCCGAGTTACTATTTTATATCTTGGTGGACAGCCAAAGCAATTTTCAAATCAAGCTTTACTTTCAAACAGGTCAGAGTTCCCAAAGCTGTCCATCTGGTACTTGTTAAGTTCAAAACCAAATATCACCATAATTCACTTGTTTAGAGGGGTTTTGTATACAGCTGACCGTTCAAACGCGTTTCCTTTGCTATTTCCGTCTTCTCTTAGGTTTCATAATATTGTTTTTAATGTTAAAGAATAGCCCACTAACGCAGCTGAGACCTTACGTCAAAAGAGAAATTATCAGTGATGGATTACTTGATGCTGTTTTTTTCATCCTGTTTGTAAAGACCCTTTTCAGTACCCCGCAAAGTTCTCCTTAAAAAAAAATTGTTTATCGGATTATTACGTTGTATATGTTAAAAGGACTGACAAACGCTTTAGAATTATTCACTGGGTCACTATAAGGCCACTCAGGGCAGTTTTCTTCCAGGACTTCGTGTAAGAAACTCTTACAGCTGTACATGCTAGTGCGATTAAAAACCTCGATCAAGGCATCTTAAGATTTTTTACGTAGAATGAACGGCGTGATGGAAGTCCAAGGGTTCTAAGTATCTCTAGAGCTTATGAAGGGAAACTTTGTGGCCGTAAGCTGCTACATACTGTAAAGTCATCAGCTGAAATGAAATACAGTTCTGTCATTATTACTACAGTTTCACTTTAAGCCTGTGTAATAAAGCTTAACAAATGTAATACAATTGCCTATGTATCGGGAGGCTTTTAACAAATCCATATATTTTTGTGAAAGCAGCCATTTTTTTCACGTGCTATCTGATTCAAAGCATATCAGTGTTGATAGAAATGTTATTCGTTGTGGTGGTTTGCAAGCGAGGTTTATTCAAGACATGAAAAGTTTTGCACGTGCAAAGAGACAAAACGTGATCTTCACGAGGGGATGTGGGGAAAAAGATTCAGTCAAAATCATTTTAATAAGCTTAGAAGCCTTGATCAGATGATCATGATTTCTGCCTAAGCCTACTGACCAAGCCTCTGGGATACTAAGTGGATTTTATTTTAATCTTTTCTTTCCCTCTTGATCGTTTTGATAAGGTCAAGCGTTTTTCATCATCATAACTGATTGACGTTCGGCATATAATTTGTCTTCACAGCTGAACCTTGACACAGTGCGCTAGATCTCTAGATCTCTGTATTTTTAGCTCTCTGAGTCTCATATTCAATCATTTCAATGCTTCGGAAAGTATTTAGTTTCAAATTGAAGGGACAACCTGACACTCACATGCGAATCTTGAGTCAATGCACGTGTCGCCTGAATGAATGCAGTGTGCAGTGTGTCTTTCGAAGCTTTCCTTGTATGTAACATATAAGCATGTTTATTTAATCTTCGATCAGCTAACTTCAAACCACATCTGGGATTTTTATATTTTACATATAACATTCCTGAAATATTGAATCTATTTCGAGTACATTTCTTCTTGGCTACGAAATGACTTGATTCACTCACCCCTCACTGAGAGTGAATTCCCTTAAATTGTTCGTACCCAGACCCCAGTTATATTTTTCGGCGAAATCCGTTGTGATAGCATCAACTTTTTTTTTCAGATTTTTTTTTTTGACTCTTGTAACGGACTCTTCCGAAAGCGGGTACTGGTCGTAGTCTAAATTGAATGTTGAATTCGCACAATTTTCAATCTCCATTGAGATTCTTGCGAACTCTTTTGGCAAAGAAACAGACGTTGGTAGTCGGACCTGACCTGTAACCTGAATTAGTGCTAAGTTCTGGAATCGAGAAACAGGGGGAAGAGAAACATTATTTTAAGTTTTAAGTTTCATACAATTTATATCTTCTTCTCCTCTCCCCATCCCAGAGATTAGCCCCTCGATTCGTTCTATTTTATCTCAGACCTGTTAGCAAGGGTTGATTTTCGCGATATAATTTGTTTTGCCACTGAATGCCGCTTGTAAACCAGGAACTTCTGCTTAATGCTACGTACGTCTCATGCAAAAAGGATGGAGCAAAAGTAAGTCCCCACGAATACTAAACAGACACAGCTTTTTTATAAATGCATGGTACGAGGACTCAATAAGTATCACAAACTTAAAGATATTTCTCCGAGTGAAGAGCCACTAATTAACTGATTGTCAAGTAAACATTATCGCCGCGTGGGCCTTTTCAAACGTTTTCGTAATTTTAAAAGTTTCAATTCTGTGCTCACAAAACACATGCGCCATTAAGTGGCTCACTTTCGTATGCGCTTCTCTGATTGGTTGAGTCCACGTGGTGTTATTGTATTCCGCGTCTGTTTGGACACGGATCGTGACCTTCCTTATCTCACACAATGAATAACTCTCACTGCAGTGTCAATTACATGTCACGGTCCGCTTAAGCGGGAGCGTCAATCCAATTTCTAACCAGAACATTTTTCTTGTATTTCACCATAAAGCAGATAAAGTTCCCTTACAATTTTTTTCATACCCGCAGTTTCAGGTATATTAAGGATTGCGAAGCTCAGAGAGGGTAAAAGACAATAGATGTCTCAAGAGGCAGATGTGCTTATTGTTAGCAAGTCGCTTTTGGCAGCTGCGTCGCCCGCGTGTTGTGGAATTTGCATACCGTACGGTGACTGTATGTCGCACATTTTATATCCACAATGTACTTTAAATAGTCGGTTTTGAAAAATAAAGGTGTCTCAGAACTTCTGACGGGATGAAACAAGATTTTTGTGCCCCTGCGTGACGGCGAAAATAGTTTTAAGCATGAGTCATCTTGCAACAAACAATAGTCGAAATTTAAGAACAATACATCTGACTCTCGCGCGTTTGTTGACGGACTGTCACAAATCTGTCAATTGTTTGAAGGGCAAGTCGAGGCGAGTTCAGTCACAAGTGTGTTATCTGTTTGTACCACGCGGTCTTCAAAACACGTATCGATTTCAATTCATCCGAAATGCATATTCGCCTCTGTCGTCAGCCAGCGTGGGAACAAAATACCTTCACAGAAAGAGTTAAAGAGCTTTGCGTCAAGGTAGGAAAACAATCCTGTTTTTGAACGGATATATTTTGTCAAACGAAGGAGATGAGACAGATTTTCGGTAATTGAAAATTTCTGCTTTTGTTCGAAGACAGTAAATTGCTTGAGGCTGTCACGTCGAACCGAGAAGGAGGAGTGTGTGCTGTTTTCCAGAGCTTTTCTTCACACACTATGAAAATGTTGTTCGTTGGGGATTTTTTTTAAGCATTACAAAGGAATGTTATTGACATAGAAGTGCTATGCCACTCAGTCAAATGCTTGTTTAGAGTGAAGGCATCGAACTAGAGAGAGCTCTGTTCGGACCACACACCGAAACCTGTGAAGGAGGAAAAAAATGGTAAACACGTCGGAAGGTTTTTTTTTGTGGAACCACTCTGAATTACTACAACGGAAATTGGGTCAATAATTTCCTAATCTACGCAACGTAAAAATCAGATGAACATATTAAACCATAGTGCGTTTAGTCCTTGTAATTGAAATCAAAACCTGTTTCAATCTAATCGAATTCAGGGTTGTGTTATATATTCTAGAAAGTTTTTAAATTCCTCACAGTAATGTGCGTAGAGGAGAACTATTGTTGTTTATTTTCATAACTGAGGTCGGCTTAACAACATCCGTAGCTCGGCAGACTAAACGGTGTTCCACATGTGTATTTTTGTGATTCCATTTTAGAATGACAGTCACATCGCCTGTGTTAATTCCTTTTTGATCTGATTTATAGCTTTTTAAGCTTTACTTTATCGTATGCTTGAACTTCAGCTTCATGTGTGACGCATTTTTAAAAAAATGCACTCTTGTGATATTTTTCAGTTGCCCGAAATTTACATTTTTACTTGCGGGTGGGCTGTGTTGTCAATATCTGCCAGGCTGGAAGGCAACTCGAGAGGATGTCTGTAACTTGTTTGAAAATGAAAGTTGCTTCTTAACTACAATGTAATATCACTTGTAATCGAGTTTCTTCTCTAATTGAAATAGTAGGGTGATTTCATCCTTATTTATAGATTACAAAACATTTATCAACACTGATTTTAATTCGAGGGAAAGGAAGGGAATTTTTTAAACGGGTCAAGTGCTTTAAATATAATTTTTATTTCGCCATTACCGCGATTGCCTTTGCTTAACTAAAACCAGATGATTTGGTTCTAGGGTTTAAAGTTTTAACATTCGATTTTTCCATAGCCAGTGGTAGATTGTTTTCGATTTCAAATGTTTTCAACAAGATTTATCTAAACAGCCTTTGAATAAACAGGCTCTAGCTTGTCGAAACAGAGTTCTTGAGCTCTAAGAATACGGAGAAAACCGTTTCTAATCTATGAATGTCTAGAAAGCAACGTGTATCTGGCGGCCTATTTATAGACAGAAAGGTACAATAACCTTGAGTGTTTCCTAATATCAAGATTGGAATTAATGGTATTTTTATCTTTGTGAATTAATTTGCGTAAGGAAACATGCGAAATTTTCACAAGTTTCTCGGTGGCTCTTCATCAAAATATAGTCTGTGCTTCATGCTCAGGGCCATTTTTATCTGTTACTTGAAGAATCAGTGGCGACTTTCAGATCAGGGAAGAGATCTGTGTCCTGTTAAGGAAATTAAATGCTTCGTTGCACTCGAGGATATCGGCAGAAACTCGGCCCTTACAAGTAGTAAAGAGGAAAACATCGATTTATTACGTAGTAAGAATGGTTTTCAAATGAAAGATAGTAAGGAAAGCGTGTGTGGAACCTGTCGGAACTATTCTGCTATCAACAAGCGTGTGTACCTCTTAATTTCTCCCTCAAGGAAGGGAGAAGTTTTTCGTAATATTACTTTTTTTTTGTAACATTTGTCACAATTCCAAAATCCAGGATCTCGTCACTCACAAGCTCTCAGGGACCTATAAGGACCTTAGCAATCAACTTTTTAATCTAACGAGACTTCGTCTTTTATTTCGTCTGACCTATTTCCGGAATGTCTAGTGCAAGCTCGGAAGAAAAAAATCTCTCTTACCATTCCGAGATTTTTGCAAAAGCATTCAGGCACAATGCAACTCATAGTAACTGAGAGCATTCTTTATGACATCCATCTTGGTCGAATATGTTTCGTCTTCACTGGCGACCGGTCTAAAGGTCCAATCTCTCTGAATTAATTGCTCCAATTAGTTAGTCCGTTGTTACCTGTGAAAAAGAAATACTTGTTCTCTTGAGTATGCACTTCAAACGCTGCATAAGTGAAAGTACAGCTTAGTAACAGAATATCGTGGACGACCGCGGCTGGTTTTCAGGACGAGGATTCAATTTTTCAGTTGCACATTATTAGCAACCTCACCTAATTCTGCTGAATTGTTTGCTTTTTTTACTGTGGCATCTCTTTTCGGTTTTATTTGTTGCTAGGAATGTTTCAATCGGTCCCTTGTTTACAACATCGTGGAACTCGGTACTTGAAGCTGAAGGTCAAAATTAATTGATAAATCAAATTAATGTCAAAATGACTCGGTCGTGAGAAAAAAGTTCAGAGGAGTTGAGTAGATTTGACGGCTGCAGCTGTTTGACTATGTTGAGAATGATTGCAATTTAGAATTAGTTTTCACGGAAATTCTGGTGGTTCGCTCCCCAAACAGAAACACACTTTATTTTTGTTCTGTAAAAATGGTCGTCGGCTAAAATAGGAAACACTCAGAGGAAAAGGCATCGAATATAAATGAGCGATTCATTATTTGAGCATTCAGACGCGACATTTTTCTTCTGTTCAAAGTCTTTCAACGCTGAAGTTGCAGAGCCGGTCGAGAGTGATTTAGCGCGAAGATCACTTGATGAGAAGAAAGTGACTGCGGTAGTCGTTTATAGTGTGGTTCGATTTGCGAAACGATGATATGTGATTAAAATTAGCTGCTTTAGTGAGTGTGCCATTGTTGAATGGAGTATAGAAGTGTGGATCATCTCGTTATAAATATAGTAAGGAAGATGTTGTTACTGTGGCAACAGAACTTGATCAGCAGATTTAGGATTGTTCCCGCCAAAGGGCGGTTATTTCACCCCACTCGGCGCCCTTCATAAAGGGAAAACTTGTGTTCTTACATCAGACATTCAATATGAGAAAGTTCGTTGGCGAAAATGGTTTTGGCGCCTTTAGTTAAACAAATATGTACAGACGGATTTTACACTCGACTGTGAAAACAATGTCGTTATCTTTATTGGCGCGCTCAAGAGTTTTATTCCCCAGGCAAAGCGCGGAGAGACGTGTCAGCCGCCATCAAATCCTCAAGTTCCAATTGTTTTTTTTCAACCCGGTAGCCCAATTGCAAGCTCGTAAATTTGGCTTGGCCTATAATCTAGACGAAAATAACCTGAACGGTGACCTTTTGGTTAAAATGGGCGTGGAAATTTTTGTAATAGATGCAAATTTTGACGATATGCGGACAGCTATTGAACTTGTTAAAAAGATTGGCCCGATGCTTATTATTTCAAATTCTTAAAGATAATATTTATGTAAGGCCAACGTCAACTTCATGGGGCGAGATTCAGGAGAATGAATTTCACCAACAGAAGGTAAAATCAACATTGCTTTAAAAGGCTGTTCTTAACTTTGTGTTGAATGCGACCACCAGCGGTAGGTCTTACATAGAGGCCTTACATCAGTTCACAACAGGTTAAAACTGACCAGTTTGGTACATAACTTTATTATGAACAGAGCGGTTGGGCCATTACGCTTAAATAGCGCGCCAGCGGAACTCAAAAACGTTTGGTACATGTAAGATATCTCATACCTCCAGATCACCTATTGTTGTTGGTAGCAGACTGTTTGTTGCGCAGTTAGGTGAGTAGATGTAGAAATAGCGTTTGTATTGTTGCGGGTAGACGATTTTAACCGTTTTATCAAAGGTGTATCAGTTCCTACAATTCTGTGATTTGTGTGGAAGTCGAATCAGCCACATTTACTGCGGTTCAGTTCTAAAGAACTCAGTATTTCTACGGTAGTTTCTTTAGGAGAATAATTTTGTGCACGTGGCAAATGCACAATATTATGTTCATTTGGCGGACGTGAGCTTCAGCCGGCAACTGTTCGTTTGATTTGAATTGTTTCGTCTACTAATGTTAACCAAATGTTTCGAACGTCCTTCGTCTTCGTTCACTGTGTGCGCTGGCTGCCATCCAATCGAGAGCGTGAATTAATGTTACTGTGACAAAATTTAGGAGGACAAACCTAATTTCAAACTTAACGACGGAAATGAAAATTATTCCAGATACTCAAATTTTTTTTCATGATTCTGTTATGCTTGTTAGAAAAGGCTCAAAGTCGAATTTTAAAAAATTGATAATTGATAATTTCTCAAAGTAGAGGGTCCATGGTGTTCCTGTTTTAGTTTTCAGATGTTTTAATTCTGTCGTGTAGTCGTTCTATGAAATGACGATATCTTCAAGTTTTGTCAGCGGCTTGCATCAGGAAATGTAGATGTGTACAGTAAAGGGGGCCATATTGGTCCATATCACGTTCTTCGGCAACAGTGAAGTAAAAGTACTTAAGACAGATTTTCTCATCATTAGTTGTGCAGTTTGTTGAGATTTTGAGAGAGTCTGAAATTAGTTTTATCCACAATGACTGCGTCTTAGGGCTAAGCAAATGTTTCCTAAGCAGATTTGTGTATTATGGAAAGCTGAAAAGGGCTTCCTTCCATAGGGTTTCTGTGCCGTTTTGGAGGCCGCGCCCTGAAACTTCTTATTACTCACGTAAGGGATCACAATTTCTCGCTTTGGAATATTAACCAACAGTATATTTAAAGTACTATTTGCTTTATATTTGTTTGAATTTATTATGGCCAATTGGTGTATCGTTGCAGAGGTACAAGAAGATGAGGAAAATATCGTTCTGTTCGTACGCTAAGTTCGTTGTTTAAAAGCTATGTTGGTAGTTTATTCACCTGTGTGTCTGTGCAACAGAGTAATGTACAAACCGGAATATTGGCGCACATTAACATCACTTTTATAAGGTTGAAGGAATACGTGTGTGATAAGCATTTGTAATAAAGACTGGGGAAAGTTGTAGAATGCGGTCCCACGTGATTCGCGGCTTTTATAAACATCCGGACCAGTATTTTCACGAGCGAACTACTTAAGACAAAAAGGAATTCAGATTTTGAGCCGAAAAGAAAGTGAGCTTTGCTGTGAATATCAATTTTTCGTAGCTCAAAGGATTGCTATATTGATGAGTTCAAGGGGTTTTTGAACCAGCGCCAAGCTTTTGGAAACGTGCTCGTGAAAGTTTATCGACTGGTGCCTAATAGAATCTTTTTTACCCCGAGCTAAGCCCTTCTTGTCACGACACAGTTGATAGAAGTCTTTTTCAGGGTTATTTTTCTGGTGACCATATTCTTCAACAAAGATCTTTTATTTGATAAATTTCCTTAGACGCTGAAGATAAAGAAAAGATTGATCCAAAAGCCTGTTAAATGCGACACCTGGAACACAACGCAACGCATGTTCAGCGGCAAACCTGCCAATCAACGTCGTGCTCTTGTGGTTTTCCCACGGTATTTTCCCGCGCATAGTGCTACTGATCTAACGGGTTTATCTACGGGTCCTGTGCTTTTTTCAAAGTGCTAATTAAGATTATCTGAATAGGAAGTCCTGTAACTCTTGAGAAACCAACATTTCGTTATTCTGTCATCAATAGAGCCTATTTAGTATTGGTCGTGGGAAAGTTAAAATTCTTCAATATGGTGACAAGCTACATTAGCGACTAATATTGGCAGGCCGCTTATGTATGGTCGAATTAAGTTTAAGTCGCTGCCTAATCGATCGAGGAAAATTTCGTGGGCTTTGCTCCAGACGAGATAGAAAAGAAGGCACTAAACGGAACTGAAAATAATACACTGTTACTGCTCAAGTAAGTCTCACATTCGGATCTTTTTTAGTGCCCGGCTTGCTTTAAGAACCTGTTTTCTATAAGTTGTTCATGAATTTTCTGTCAACAGAACTAAGGAGTTTTGGCGCAGTCTTGAGAGAGAAAGATCTTTCTATTGTAGTTAGTTTGGATCAATTTAATCAGTTATCCATTGCTCTTAAAAAACTGAGAGGCCAAAATTATTTTACCATAGGGTAGCACGCTCTCCTGGAGTTTTCGTTTTGTTGTTAATTTTCTCGCGGTCTTTTTTCCCGCCAATTGTCTGTCACAAAACTATCAACTATGTGCAAATGACTACAGGTGGCCGTAGTTTATTGTGTCTTTTGTAGAACAATTCTCTGGGGTAATTTTTAGGAAACAAAGTTAAGTTATAATCCACAGATTTAAGATAAAGTGAGTTTAAGTCGGGTTTCTATCATGAATTTCATATTTTTGAATTTTATACTTGTTTTCGAAACCGAAAACACGTTGTGTACGTAAGTTTAACGAAAGCGAAAATATTGTAACTTCGAGATGTCGCCTTTCGGTACATAAATTTGCGAGACTACTGTATCTACCATTTTCCCACAGTTGGCGTGTTAGTTCGACTCAGTCAACCGTTATAAAAAGGAGTCTACTTTCAAACAAACCCTCGGCAAACTTGCTTGATTCTTTTGAAATGTCAACGTCACTAAGAGATTTACGTCAGTTTGAACAAGGAGAGTCATTGAACCCTGACGTTTTTTTTTTTCATATTTGGTTCGACCGATATTTGCTGAGCACGTTGATACTTTTAGACGCTTTTCGTTGTCGCTTTTAACGAGCTTTTCGCTAGCTTTATTCAATGTATTTGAAATGAGTCCTGTTTGTTTGTCTTCCTTTGTGGCCATACGAAGCCATTTGAAGTCGAAGGTCCGTATGTAATTCAACTGTCAGTGTCGTCATCTCAGCCTATTTCGTTTGAAATATTAACTTATTTTCCAATGGAGTCGTTAATAAGAGGATGCTCTTTTAAATTAGGACGGCTGCGAAAGGTATGCTCACAGTAAATCTGTCAGTAGCATTTTACACTGATAGAGCGAAAGGAATTAAGTGGGGTTTTTCAAATTTCTAAGTGTACATGTAAAGTTGTCATGTTTTTACACATTGATTATGCGGTCCGTGTTAATGTGGTGATGTGTAAAGAGGTTAAGCCAATTTCCTGTTTTTCAAAGGATATCAAAATATTGATTTTTCCCTATTCCGAGACCGCCATGGAGTTGTTATTCAAATTTTATCCATCAGGGTAGGATGATTTTTCTCGTGAAGAGGCGAATGGTTTAGATGGCTGCTTGAAAATTATGTTCTGGTTGGTCATTCAAGTAAAACGAACCTTTCTGAGTATTGTTTTAATGATTTCCATTCCTCAACTACCTTCCTTTGAAAGGATTTCTATAGCGTTTATTCTTGTGGTCATAAGTGAATCACACCAATGGTATTGTACTTGTAACATGAAGACTGTAGTATGAATTAATTTTCATTTATTTTCAGTATTTTGCTTGCGTAGAATAGCCTAATTGTGCCAGTTTGCAAGGTTTCCCCTTAATCAGTTTTTTTAAACCAGTTTGCAAGGGTTCTGCACAATGTTTGATTTATTTTTTCTCTCCGCTTCCAACAGAATTTAACGGGATTTTAAGTTGACTGAAGGAGCACGAATGGCTGAGAGGAACTTTTCTGATAGCGACAAAGGGACTGTGTGACTGTGTTAACGATTGAGGAAGAAGGTTCAAATTTTAAGCGGAGTGACTGCATTAAAATCGATCGTCCTCTACAGCTTGAGGAAATACAAAGTGAAACAGTACAAGTAAAAATACTCCTTCAAGACAATAAGGAAAATGACGATGCAAAAACTGATGAAATTCAAAGAGCGGAACACGAAAGCTCTACTTCCGCGGAACAAGAAGAGTTAGGCAATTCAGCGGGAGGTCGTTATAACGAACAACCATGTGGAGAGAGTGCAGCGGAAATAGCTCCAATGATAGAAAAGGATAGACTGAATGAAAATACAGATCTAGAACTTACCGTAACAGTCGCCATAGAAGAAAAAGAAATTTTACTCGAAGGCGAAACCACCATTGTGAATATGGCGGACCAAGCTGAAAGCGTTTGTATCGAGATGGAAAGTACAGCGGATACAGAGGGAAAAGATACTGAAAAAAGTTGTGATAAGTCACCTTCGGACACAACAACTCTATACTTCTCTGAAAGCGACAGCGCAGAGGTTGAAAGTGATGTTTGTAGGATATGCCATAGTAGCGACGAGACTGAAATCTTAATTAGCCCCTGTCTGTGTACTGGATCTGTTAAGTTCGTACATCATTCGTGTTTAATGAGCTGGCTACAGAGAGCCGTTATGAGCAAATGTGAACTGTGTTTGTACCCGTTAGCGGTCAAACGAAAGAGGAAGCCGTTTAGCAAGGTGAGTTTGCTATTTAGGTCTCTCATTGAAATATAGGAGTATTTTTCGGGCCCTAGCGCGTTTAATTTGCCCCGTTAGCCCTCTTTCAGATCCCCAGCTGTGAATGCTGTGGATTCTATGTCCATGTAAATGTGCACTCTTTGTCAAGTGTTTATTGCACAAAACCCATTTAGATGGCTGAAAATGGCTGTACACAGTTTTCGTTTTTTAAACTTGATAGTTTGTATTTAGAGCTAATCAGCTGAATCGCTTAAACAGATCAAGCTATCAGCTTCATAATTTTGAATTTCCTCGGGTTTTTTCTCGGCATCCGTAGCTTTGAGAGGAACATACACAATTCCTGCTATTCCCCTGTCAGATTTGCTTCCATTTTCGAGAAAGTCTGTTTTAGCAAACGAAACAAAGAAAAATTTGCGCGCTCAAAACTCCTAACGTTCAACCAGCGACACTCGATAAGAATTCATTAAGAAACATGGTAAACAAACAGTGTGGAACGACAGGTGGTCTATTGTTTAATCATGAACATCCCTCGTTTATCTGTTGGGGTTTTCAAGGTCGTTGTTGTCTTAAAGTGCAGAATATTAGGATACGTGCAGTTGGTTTTGCTATGTTCATGTTCCTTGCTAGAATGTGGTCGGATCTTCCCAGAACTACATTTAGCAACCGCGTAAACAGCCTATATACCAATACAGGGTATGTTAGTATATACGCGAACAGATGATAGCGTTGAAGACACTCTGATTGGCTAATAAAACTCTTGCTTTCACTCCCTATTCACCTCTTAGCAACTCGTGCGGGATTTGCGCACGAAAGTAATCGTTACAGGAATAAATTAGTTAAGATCATCTTTTTGTGCTATATTATCTCTCGCTGTTTTCTCGTATAGTTAAACAACCATCCACCTCAGTGTACCTGGCGTATGATGACAGTTGTTATATGTGGGTGCTAACTGAGGGGAAATTTAGATCAAATCCGGAATTTTTTTGCCCATGCGTGTGCCTTGCAATTTCTGGCTAACGCGTCATATCTTTTTCCCTTTATTAGTGGCGTCTCCCAGAAGACAAGCCTTTTCCCATACTGTGGCTGTTAACGTTTGTCATAGCAATGACGCTGAACGTGGCCTCCATAGCTAAAGACGGTAGCCAGAGGTGTGTGTCTAATCCGTGTATCATTTTCTACGTGGTGGGTTCCGCTGGAGCGCTCCTGGGACTCGCTTTCTTCTACCGCTGGCTGCGCAAGACTGTGCGCTACGTCTCTAAATGGATTGCACTCAACCAAGAATGGACGTTAGTGGGTCCACCAGACTTGAGGACTCAGATGGGGCAAACAAATCTTGCCTACTCCACAAAATCGCTTTCAGAGACTGAGACAACTCAAGAACAGGTTGCGTAGTCAGTAGTGTTTCAATGTTGGAAAGACAACACTATGTACAGCCCTTCTTTTGCCTTGGGTACCTCGTGGTCTTCGACTTAAAACCGCTTCCACTATACGTCGTATCCCTGAAATTACCTATAAAACTTTGTTTAAATGTGATTGTTCATTATGCCCTCAATGACTTTAAAGATTGATTTTTTCAGTCTGTTACTCGAAAGTATGCCCGAAGGCATATTTTGAAAACAAAAATGAAAGAGTAGAGGAGCAGGTTCTGGAAACCTAACCAGTCTGTTTTGTACCTTTAACTGACAGTGTTAGTGTATAATTTTCAAAAGTTTTGAAACTCTCATCCCGAGTGAAAGCAGAACTGCTTCTCGGAGCGTTAAGTTACCAGGACCTTTGAAAAACGGGCCCCAAGCCACTGAGAAAGACCCGGAGATTTCAAAGAACTCCTGAACCAAAATAAAGTAAATGTAGTTTAAAATTTATCGACACTCCAACTCTTTAATTTATTTTCAAACGTGAAGTTCTTCTGCTGAATTTATACAGTTCATCCACTGACGTTATAAAGCAATTTTAAGATATTAAATTATACTTAAATTATTGAAAGATCTATGAAAAATTCAAGCATGATACAAAATGAAAAATACGTTCACTATATATTTTGAAAGAGTGATAATTTCAAGAGAAGTATTACTGAAGTTTATAATTATTGTTAAAGAAGCTATATTTCAAATGTTTACGATTACTGTACATGTGTTTGGTTGAGTTTTGAATAAAATGGGAAAAGCGCAACGTTTTGACGAGACATCATATGTTTAGTCCTTGACATTCTAACATAAAAATGAAAGTTCTCCATACTGTTCTGTGTACATTTTCCATGGTACTTCCAGGAGGAATTTGTCTGACAATCAAGAGCTTCTTGAATTTACGACCATTTTCTTTATACTTACGACCTTGATGTCTGATTTTGAAAAGAACCATAGGGAAATTAAATGCTTTTCACCCTTAACTGAGGGGTTAATTGTTGAGTGAAGGTGATAGTGCGTCTAGAAACGTGAGGCTTAGTCCTGCACTAAGCCAGGTACAAACAGTCGCCTTTTTTCCAAAAAACGACGTTTACTTAGTTCGACCTGTGACAACAGAACGAAAAATTTCCGCAGCGAAGTCTGTGCTTGGCGAAGGATAGGGGCTTTGGCCCAAATATTTTTTACGATGGGGTTTGGAGTCCCAAGGCTAATATGAAGCCATCTTGACCTACCAAGCCTGATCAATAAAGGTGTCATTATCATAGAGAAAAAGACTTCGCTGAAATAAGAATCAAGAATGACTTGTTTATTTCCAGACTCTGGGAAGGAAAGCCAACTATTTTGGCGCGTCCTCGAGCTCGTTTATGTTTTCTTTGTTTTGAATGTCCTTTGTTGCTTTAGGAGATTCCATTGATGACATTGTCAGAAAATTACGAACTTTGTATGTCGCTCCATGCGATTTTTTACTCGCAAGGGGATCAAAGCGGACAATCCGGATGGGCTTGGGTAGCCAATCAGAACACAGGATTCGCCTCATCTTGCCCACGAGAGCTGCCAGCCATAAAATGAATTACATTAATACGCTATTATTTCGCATTTTGAGTCTTTCGGTCGATTGGTATCTTACAGTAATCCCGTCCTCTTAAGTTTTCAGTGTATCGCAAAGGCCATCAATTTCTCATTGAAGTTCAGTTGCTGTACAAAACACTGGTAAATGTTAGAAAAATGCCGCGTTTTCCGTGAATTCAACTTTAGTTCTCCATACGGTAAACGCTAGTTTTTTTGCCGTGCTTCTTGCAAACTTTTCCACTACATGAGGTATTTACGGTAAAATTTCCGCACAGCCCCATACTATTGTAAAACAAATCTGTTTTCCCAATGGCAATGTATTTTTTTGTCATTGTTTTCTCTATCCACGAACTGAATGCATAATGTATTATGGGGCTGTGCGGAAATTTTACCGTATTTACACGCTCAAAATATGCATCGGGCTGAAGAACTCTTCTGTTCCTCCAGGAAGTCGAGGTCCTGTGATTTGGATACGACCGGCTTTTGAATATTTATTAATCACGTTACTTCCAAAGCGACTGTACATTCGACAGGGATAATATCATCACCCATTGGTGAACCACAGAGTGGGCATGGAAACGACAAGTCAGCTAAACTGTTGGCCTGAAAAGAAACAAAAAGTCTGTTCCAATAACAATTAACACGAGACAGGAGCGAGTCAAGGACACGCAAAATGGTGCTAAGTTCGCATGTTCGGTAGAACCAGAGTCGAAGAGAATGTGGTTGGCTGCTCTCCTTGAATGGAACGCTTCTGTTTACCCTTCTTTCCCCTTTTACTTTGTCATTCGATATCTTGTCTAAGGTGAACAGAATCATCATGACCGTGAAAGCCTTCCCCGTAACGTACAAAAACGAAAGTAGAGGAACATGGTCGACATTAGGAGCCGCTAGGCGGCGGAAACCTGCTGGGTGGCAGACCATTTTGCATCGACTACTTTTTTGCGAATTTCTATAAAAGACATAAAATAAGTACGTCCAGCTGAAGAAAGATCTTCAATTATGTCCTCGAGTACTAGAAGTCACGTCTCAGAGAGTTTCCAATTTCCAACTTTTCTTCCGGGGAGCATACTCCCACACTCTCCTCCTCGAAGGATGTGTTGCTTTACAAAACGCTATGATTGCTGCTCAAGCATACTTCACTTCAGCCACCCATTTAGTTCAGATAGATCATACACCTTTTACATTTCTAATAATAACCCTAGCACACCAATAATGGTTGCACTTTGCACGTTAGCGCTCTAACGCTGAATTAACACCCACCCCCCTTCCCTTCAAAACATTACTTGAGCCACTGGTCTGTTCAACACTTACCTTGATGCAGTAATAACAGAACACGTGACCACACAGACCTTGATGAGGTGCAGTAGGAGGTTCATTACAAATTCCACACTCGTGACATGCTACTTTGATTGATGGCTGCTTGTCAAGAGAAGCTGGACTTGAAAACCGTCTAACCAGCAAGTTCTTTAGTTTGTGGATGTTGATAAGTGGAAGAAGGAAAAACACAAATTCCTGAAGAAAAATGATCAAAATGTTTGATATTATAGCAATTAAAGTTTAAGCAAGACCATAATCACCTCCAGTAAGTGCTATATAGTAATACTCACTGCAAATCCATGCCAGAGTAATTCACGAGTCATGAAATCAAAGCTGACTTGTCGAATTGATTGTCGCTGGGCAAATACAGGATGAATTCCAAGAACACGTTCAAGAAGGGAAGGATATCTTGGCACAGTTAAGAAAGCCATAAACAGGATTAACAGAGAATCTTATTAAAAAAATTGCAGCAAACAAAAAAGTACTGTTACGATTTGGGATCTTGCACATGACAACAAAAAGACAACAACAGCAAGGGGTAGTTTTTGCACATAAAAGGAGGGTTGTCCTCCTCCCTCATCCATCTGAGCCTCCTTACAGTTTGACCAGCTGTATTCATTGATAAAACACATCTGGAGATGGCAGGACAATTAAAGGTAAGTTCTCCAGCAAGGGAAAGTAAATTTGTCTGGTTCAAGACTTATGCTAACAATTTTACTTTTGAATGAATTTTTTTTAAAGGATACTTTCCCTTTTGTAAAAAAATGAGGAAGTTAAGGACAGAAGCAAACTGAAACAGTTTTTCACCAACATTAACATATCTCCAAATCTACAGGATAAAAAGACATTTCAAACCGTTAAGAGGAAGATACAAATCATACCTCTCCTGTACATAATAATGACTTAACCCTTTAACTCCTATGATCTGATTGTTAATTCTCCCCTCTTGCTGGTGCACATTCCCTTATAAATTAGTTAGGAGAATTTGGTGTTAGATCAAGATTTCAACTTCTACCTGATAAATTTGAGTATTCTCATCACTCATACGCTGGATAATGTATGGATATTATGGGGAAAAGTTCCATGTTAATCACCCCTGAAAGTTGAAGGGTTAACTTAATGGTCTGTGATTAACGCTTGAAGCATCTACTAACCCCCCTCCTTACTGATACTAATGGTGAGTATAGATCAGCATGACAAGACATCAGTCCATGTGAGAACTTCTTTTTTTATACACAATCATGTTTTAAAACCAACTGAAAAGATGACAGAACTAAAAGGAAGGTCTTAAATAAATTCAGTTAGACAACTAGATTCTCCCTCCTAATTCACTAGTGTTTTCTTAAGGGAGAAATTGATGCTGCATCAATTACGGCTTTACTCTGTGCAAATCCCTCCCACCCCACTCTCTGTCAATGTAAGGTACCATGCATTGTAGAAGCCCACACCATCTCAATGCAGGCCAATGTTACTTCGGTACTGCTATATTACAAGATACAAACCAACAAGTACTCACAGAGTTTAAGTCCAAAATTCTGTCTGTAATTCCTTTTATGTCAATGCTTCTTTCTCTTATATAGGGTATTCCAACAATGCAAAAACCAAACAAAAGCTTTTGTAATAGACTCACAGTGCTCCCTGTTGAGATATGCCATTTAAATAAAGAAAAAACCTTAAAATGCCTCTTATGGTACTCTGTCCACATCATTAATACACCAAAGAACTAGACAAATTGAAATTATTACTGACAGCAATGGTACACAAAGAAGAAGTTTTTAATTTACTGTATTCCAGTGCTAGTCCTGTGGTTGTCATTAAGTGTGAGATTCAACAAAGGTTTTTCTTTTCCTACATCCTCTCTAAATTGAAAGGTAATTACTGATAATTGGTCTCTCATGATGTGACATGCATTTTTACCTTATAAGCTGAATTATTTGTGCATTTTGATTGGTTTTTATTAATGATCTACTGGAGGACAGATGCATAAATGACATCACCATTCACAACATTTTGCTTTTTTATCATGTTAAACAAATAATACATTCAGCCATGTTGCTATGGGGTTGGGCAGTAATGCATCGTAATAGATCATAGAGGAACATAAGAACACACCCAGCTGTGCCTTCTGTTCCTTTTTTTGTTTGTTTTTACCACATTTTAAAATCATCAGAGTCTACAAGTTGAAAAGAGTAAAAATTGATGGTATAGATAAGCAGTATTAAATGGAGAAGGAGGAAAATCCTTAGCAACCATCTTAACAGAATCTAGGAGCATGTCAAGATGTTTTATAATCATAAATTACCACTTTGTCATACTAGGTGATAGATCAATGGTATCCTAGGACCCCCACCACCCTGAGGTGATTAACCCTTTAACTCCCATGAGTGACCAAGACAGAACTTCTCCTTACAATATCAATACAATATCAAGCAGACTAGTGATAAGAAAAATACAAAATGTCAGTCAGGACAATATAAGCTGATTCAATACCAAATACCCCTCCTAACATCATAGGAATTATGTGGCAGACAGTAAGGAGAATTTCTTATGAGATTTGAGAGTGAAACAGTTAATAAACTAGCAAAGTGACAGAAGCTACTATTTTACTTACTTACCTGCTGAAGTGTACTTCATGTTGAGCATGCGTTGACCGATGGTTGAATTACTGCTGTACACTGAAAACTGAACCATATAAAGTAACAGTAAGAAATGCATACTCTTTGAAACCAAGCTTTAACTCTCTACACCCTAACATCAGTTTACATATTCTCTCTACTGTTCTTTATACATTTCCCAAGGGGCTAACAGGGAGATTTTTTTGAAAACAAAGAGCTGCTTTAGTTGGTGATCATTTCCTCCATTCTCATCAACCTTCATATTGAATTCAGGGAAACAGGCCGTGAAATTGCGCTTAATACAGGCGCCAATGCGACTAAATTTTTCACTTTGGCAACCAAATCCTGAAAGTTAGTCGCCAAATTGGCGACTAGAACGTTTCATCATAACCTTACCAAGAGATATAGTGAATTAAAAAGATTTGCAAAGATAAATCCACGGCAAACTTCCTCGTTAAGTTTGTTTCCAAAACGTAGCACATGCATCTCGATCGATAACTAGACACCATCTTGGATTTAGATGAGCCTGAACGTTGTTTATCATCCATCCTAGTGTCCACTTTGTAGCACATTAATTTTGACTAACTTAATTTTGGAGGGTCTATCTAGAACACTGACGGCGTAAAGAAAGATTTTGTTTGTCTTTGAAAATGGCGACCAACTTTTTTTTAATTGGCTACCACTTTGAAGAATTTAGGAGCCAAGTGGCTATCAGAAAAAAAAGTTCATTTCATGCCCTGGGATAATATTTTAGGGAGAAATTAGAAGCTAGTCACGCTTAAGGGTATAAGAGTTAATTATCACTTGTAAATTTCTCTGTTAGGTTGAAACTAAATGGATTGAAGGAGATTATAAATAGACTCACCCTCCACACAAGAAATCTTAGTACTGCATTCAGTTCAGCTTCATATTTTGTGAGAACACCAGCCTAGGACAGAGAAAAAATCTTACATTTCTTAACATGATGCTTAACTCATGAAATAGTTGTACAAGATGCAGAATGCAGTACATAATATTAACCCTCTCCGCCATAAAATCTTATGCAAATTCTTCACACTGTTCTCTATGCATTTCTTAAGATGCTAACAAGGAGAATTTGTTATACTTATGATCAAGGGCATCTTGGGTTCACAATCATTTCCTTTATTCTCATAACTTTTATGTTTGATTCAGGGGTGATAATGTTAGGAGAAATTAGATGTTAGTCACTTTTGAGGGCTAAAGGGTTTGCTCTGGATCTTGGAGCTTGCTTGCTTTCACACATCCAAAATTAGGGTTACATACAAAATTCCCTTTTTTTTTTCGTTTTTCAGGACTTTTAGAGTCATACAGGTTTTGTAGTAAATTTAAGGATTTTTAGTCAATAATGTTCAGAAAAATACAGCTGACAGCCAAAATTAGACTCCAGCCCTGGGTAATTTACAGCTTCAAATGGTATTTTGCAGGTGTGTTTTTAATAACAGTAATAGTTGTGTTTTTGGCCTCTGTTGTACCGTATTAAATGTAACACTCGGAAAATTTTTAATGTCATTATTGTTTGTTCTAAAAATAAAATATGTATGTGCAGAAGAACCACTTACATCACCTAGTAAATAAATGATCATTCTGAATCAGTTTAAAGGTGCTTCCATGCAATTACATCACAGGAATCTTACAAATAATGTGATTATTTGGCAAATGATTTTTAAAAAAATCTGGATTTTAAGGAAAATTTTGAGTTTTTTAAGAGAAAAACGAGATTTGTGGACATCTTTTTGAAGAATTTCCGGGTAGATTTTTCGGGAATTTTTTAATTGTATCTAGGTCTATCCGTATTTGAATTGTATATGACGCTCAGTGTGTTTCTGGAAGGAGGATGTCTCTTGGAAAATTAATGCCAGCCCACACGCTAAACTTGCAAATTCTGATGAGCAAAATTAAAGCCTTAATGACTATTTCTCTTTCTTAACAGAGTTGATTTGAAGTGCTGTTGAATTAAAGTACAGAAAAACAGCCACGAAGGACTAATGAAGATATAATAGGAGCTTGTTAGATGTATTTCTTTTCCTCAGCTTCAATTTCCCTTCAGAAAAAAGTAAGTTTTATAAAATCGGCAAACTTTGTTTACCTCGAAGTAATGAAACGCCTTGTTCAGCTGATTTCGAAGAAGATGGATAATTTCCTCATCAAGCTGGGCAGCATCCAGCTATAAATAGTAAGGAAATCGCTATATCAGTTAAATGCCGATAAGAAGCAGGACTGTAGCGATGATTTGTCCAGCTTTACCTGATTTACTCTCAGCACTCTATGCTCCGTTCCGTCACGCTCGTCCGCCATCTTGATTTTACTTGAAGCCCCAGTCTTTTTCGGCACTTTCGGCTTAGTGCCAGGCTATCGCATTAGCCTCGAGCGCGACTGATTGTGTTTGGGTATAACTGGGTATGAATTTCAAAAGATTCACCTAAAATATATTAAAGTTCACACGGCAACCAGGTGGACAATCAGACATGGTTTGATGCTACTCCGGTTTACAGATTTAATGAAGGTAACCGAAGAAGTTCTATTCTAACAACTGTAACTTCTTTGGTTACATCCATTAAATCTGTAAACCAGAGTAGCATCAAACCAAGATTCACTTAGTTGATGACATTCTTTTCCCTCTCTAGCGGTCGAAAACAAAGATCTTAAATTGGAAGATACCAAGTAAACTTTTTCCGATTGTGCAATCGCTCATTTGAAATGACCATCGAGACAGTGGCTTAGACGTGCAAGTCCTCATGCTTTTTGCTATGATCGTCGGTACTTTGCACTGCAAGGCGTGAAAATTAGAAAATCAATATTGAACAAAACGAACAGGTCCACAAACCAGTTGCTTAGCTGGGATTTTTCAAAGGGACGAAGGTGGGGATGGGGGAGTCACGGTAAATAATTTCCGTCGGTCTTGTACATATGAAGTGGCTTATACCGCTGCTCTACCTGTGCATCAGCGGGCTCGTAGTCACAAGGTGAGGATGGGCTTTATGGATTGTGCAAGCAAAAGTAGCATATTATGCCACTAGCATTGCTCGTTTTTTTCCTGGATTATTCTTAAAATTATGCTCGTTTCTGAAAATTATGCTACTTTTTCTTACATTGTGCTTTTCAAATAAGGAACAAAAAACCAAGTACACACTACATGTTTATTGTTAATTGTAACGGCAGTAAGACTGAGTGGAGTCCAATTCGGTCTGTAGATAAACAAATCGGACTCCCTTCCGAGTTTGTTATGACTCGTATAATCACAGACTGAATTGGACGACACGAAGTCTCATTACTAATGAATCGTAAAAATTACAATTTCCGAGAAAAGAAAACTAGCCAAGTTATAAATGAAAAGGGAAAATTGTCTTAAAAGACTGACAAAGGGGGCGTACATAGATTGCTGGTTGATGGTTGATTTAAAATACAACTTTGAATGTGATTCTCTCAATGAACTGTCGGATAACAAAACTGTCCTATCCAATTACAAACTTACCGATAACAACTTGGCGAGTGAATTAGTGGAAAATAGGAGTTTTTTTAAACAATCACAATCGATGAAATTGTAATTTTTACGATTAAGCAGCCTATGCTCTTTATTTTCTTTATTTTCAGTTATACTTGCTCTGATAAAACATAATTAACTGCTGCACTTAATTCCAGACTAATTCCGGTGACGTTCTGAGTCAAAATGTAAGATGTGGTATCACGTTTCTCTTCGACGCCATTTTGTTGCTTGTGAAAGCGGTCTCTGGGATCGACAAAATCTTTACTTCCGTTGTGTCGTCCTCTAAACGACGAACGATTCAGTATTTCGGTGACTTTCTTCCCCAAAACATTGCTAAATTGTAAATAGACCGGCTGAGCCATCGACCAAACCTGAAAATAATCAGTCTTCAAGACCACAAAAGTCTTGACTCTGGTAATGTTCCCTTCAGAAAACTGAAAATATGCTGATTATGTTTGCAGTGCTACTTTCATGAAAAAAAAAGCAAGAATTATTCTAGTTTTCTGCACTGTGTCAAAGATTATGCTAGCACAATCTAAAAGGGCTTGAGCGAGGACCGGCAGATGGGGGATCAAGTTATGAGAGAGATTTATGTCATGCAGATTCTTCGGATTCGCGCACTTTCGCCATCTTGAGTATAAGGTTTCTTTCGTTGTTCTTGACTTACAAAAAAATTCCGCGAAGTGAAGGGGGGGGGGGGAGGGAGAGGGCGTTTAAGGGTACGTCAGGACCTCCCTCTAACTACAACACTACCCACATACATGTTCTCTTAATGGTATCGACTTTACTAAATGAGATAAGTATCCCATAGACCGAGACATGAATGCCCCTTTCTGATGTCATAGATTGTGCAAACTTACACGCGATCAAAGCATAAGTGATTACACAAAAAGCTCACTAAAGTTGCACTCTGAGTGGGCGTAGTTTTGTGGAAAGTACAAGGCAGATGATATTGCAACATTCATGGTCATCGAATCACTTCTGTATTTGCTTTGGCTAGTTTGTTTAACCAAGCCGTCTGGCTCTCAAAAGGACTCACCTTTTCTTTGCTTAGTGGATCCAATTAGGTATTGTTAAGAGGTGATCGTGTCTTACACCGCATAATACCACCCTGATTACAATAAGCGCTCTAACAAACACTTCATCTCTTGGCCAATCAGGAGAGGACATCACCGCGTCTCCTGTCTTGGGGATTAAAAGGACTGCAAGGTCACACTGCGGTGCAACTTCAGGGAGTAACTTTGCTAGACTGTCAACTATCGAATTTTGCTGCCGATGGAAGATCCAGTGAGTTTTGCGCCCAAACATGAAGTTGATATGGACGCGTTTAAACAAAGCGGATCGGAAGAAGACGATGTTGGTTACCATTCGATCGGACGAAACATTAAGGTAAAGATTATTGGTTTTACTGGTTACTTTAAAAGGCATTCAGCTTGAATTTAGAGCAATTTTAAGCAGTGCACCGTTGAATTTGACAAATAAATTTCTGACCAAAAATTGGCAATGTTGTCGCCATGTTCTTTCAAAATTCTCATTCTGAAAAGGAGAGGAAAAAAACATCGCGTTCTGGACAAAGAAAAATATTGGTCAGGTGAAAACTTGACACAAACTTAATCAATATTCCTGGTCATTACTCGTTAATTGTAAACGTTCAAAAGTAGAATTTCCAGTGATCTAGTCTAACAGCTCTTTTCTAAACATTACTTAGACGTGATAAACACTTTATAACTCTGTGTACATTTCGCGAAAGTCTATTCTGATTTCTCAATCAGCTAGAGGATACATTTATATATCAGAAATAAACACGAATTGTCCACTAAACATCATGAATAAATTTTTTACAGTTATTTCTGCCTCTTTGCTGAACAAAAACGATCACAGATTTGAAAATTATATAGAAATCGTTAGGTTTATTTGACAAAGTTTCAGCTTTTAAAAAAGGAATATTTGGAGAATAACTAAACATTTTTGAGACTGTGAAACTCATCAGCATTGTCAAGAAGATCAGTCGATCGTCGCTATGCTCCGATTTCTACGTGAATATGGTCTTTCATAAACTCTTGTGGCTATCATACATATAGGAATTAAGGAAATAGCAGCAATAATTGAGAGAATCTCTCAGAGATACTATTTACATAGTCTGACGACCTCATGTGTAGATTTTAAAGCGAAAACGGGAAGTAGTTATCACATAGTTGACGGATCGGATAGGTGTAAACGGCGTCTGCTGAAAATTTTGCATAACAAAAGAACTTTCAGATCCAGCAAAATCTAAAGCTCGAGCGAGTTAAAAGACTCCATTGTTTTCGTTCGATAAAGTGTATTCGTATTTTTCTCGATCGTTAACGCATTCTACCTTTGACTTTGCCGTTGATATTTTTCCTGATACCGTCGCATTTTGCCGTCTGAAATTAAATTGACTGGTTGAACAAATAAGTTACGCCGAAAAAGGGGAACTGAAATGTTTTCATTTCACCAACAAAGTTGTAGAATCTCAGGTTCGATAACTTTTCACTATTATTATTATTGGTTGCAAAAGCACCTGTCGGTGGTAGAGAGTGTAACCTAGATTCGAAAATTTGCGAGCTCTGCCGCAGTTGCAGTGAAATTCACTTAGTTAATTTTGACTAGCGAATCAGTCTTGCTTTTAATCTCTTTGTTTTCTTCAACTTTCATGTTGAGCTGCCTTTGCGCTGCAGGCTTGAGATCCCTGGAATCCTGCTAATTGCGATCCTTGTATAAATTATGCAAAAGTTACAATTATGACTTATGTAACTGAGTGTAGTTTTTCACTTTGTTTTTTAAAATCTACAATCACACCACGACAATTTCTTAACATGCTGTCTTGTTCTCATCACTTTAACAAAGCAAAGAAACGGTGACGATGAGAATTCGTTCTTGATACACGGAACTATACCTTCCAGCATGAGTTTTTTAATCCGTGTGGTTGTTGCGCACCACTGCGATGGATGACATTTAAATTGACAGCACGAATACAAACTGTGTATCAAAAAGCTAGTAGTGCGAACTGCAAAACTGCACTGGCGCTAGCTATCGGCTAAAATTAGAATATCCATGGGAACAAAGTGAGTCATCTTTCACAATTAACCGCTCTGCTGGAGTTTTTAGGAAAAGTGTATATAATACAAACATTAGACATGGTAACTCGAAGGTCATGTCAGATTACTCTATTTTGCACGCATGTTTGATTTTTTTTCAGATAAATTAGTCTTTGATTTCTTTTCAAACGAAGAAAATGAATCTAAGAGAAAATAGTTTGTTTTAACTGTTAGATATGATAAATCAATTCTTTGTCTCTGAATCTAAGATGCGCGAAATAGAGAAAAAATTCATGCACTGCGTTTCGGGCCGCTCGATGGGCAATCAGCCAAACTGTTCGGTTCGAATATCATGAATTATCATTTTTTCGACCTCAGTTTTCAGGAACTAATAATTTTGAACGGCGTCGTTTTGGCATTACTTCGAATCTGAATGAATTCTCGGTCAGTGCCTGAAAGTAAAGTCCCATATTTATTCGAATATTCCAGTGCTAGATCAGCCGGATTTAATAATTAATTTGAAAAATCTTCAATTACACACATTTTGAATTATATCTTTTTTTATGCATCTCGAACAATGAAGGTGTGCATGTAAAATCTCAATTTACAAAACTACGGAGAACTGATTAAAATTCACCTCAAAGTATTTATTTCACTTCCGCACATCAACGTCTGCTCGGATTTAGATATTGTGTCATAAAATACGGCCACAAAACTATATTCTTCAATTTAGATGCCAGTACTTCTTACCA